TTGTGTAATAACAAAATCCCATGTTTTGACCTCGCGAATCATGCGCCCACAAAAGAAAAATTAAACAGATAATTAGAATTTAATTCTCATTTTGAGGTCTGTAAACAGACAATCATTCCGCCAATATTTTTCATCAGAGATTGTCAGGCAAGCGCCGACTAAACCGGGACTTGCCAGTTTGACAGGTTTCCTATTAAGCTGGAACTTGTGCACGGCGTTGACATATCATTCACGGACTAGATACAGAAAATTAGTAGTTTACGATTTTTTCAACGGAAATCTGCTTTGCAATTGTGAATGAATTTGGTATAAATGAAATTCTGCGAGTATTATTGTTTTAATCGTGATCCTCTTGTTTAAAAGTTATATGAACAGATACTACACAACAGAAATATTATATATCTATATACGGATAAGATCTTTTATATATATAAATATATATATTAAGTTATAATTAAGATTATTAGAATTTAAAGCTTCAACTTGCAGTAAAACAATATTCAAAATATGCTTAAATCTTAATTATATATTCTCCAATAGATATGATATTTGCTTTGTTGGGAAGTTGTCATGGTCATGAATCTCATTCCCTGGTGGAAAGGATTTTTACCCTTTAGACTTTCAGATGTCAATAGTGTTCGGCCAAAGATAATTCAAGGTATTTTATTAACAAATAGAAAGGAAATGCAAGGTTTTTTTGGGGCAGATGTCATGTTGTGATCTCACAAAGAGCAATGCTCTATCCTAATACTTGAACAAATAGATCTTTTTTTATTTGAACTATAGTTAAATATTAAATATTTTTGGTGCCATAAAAATCTATTTCGAGCCTATTAATTTCTTTTATTTTTATTACAAGATAATAAAATAATTATAGAAAAAGTTAACTACATGTGATTTGATTGTCTTATTTGCAGAAGTAAAATGTTTTAGATTCAAACCAACTAGACGTAAATATAAAAAATAAACAAAGCATTTTTTTTCTCTATAAAAATACCTTTTTTTTATTAAAAAAAGGATAAACAATGAATGAAACTCAAAATTACGAGGAAAAAGTAAGCTTAATAAACATGTAAGTAAGAGACAAATCACTTTTAGATGAATCGATCTATCTTGGTTTAATTACCATTAAGTTAAAAAAGCAAATCTCTTTCCAGCCCTGTTCCCTTTAATCCACAGACCATAGCATTCCAAGATATCGGTTCCCTTAGAAAGTCAAAAGCGCATATCCATTGTCACGCGTCGGTTCTTCTCCTATATATACCCATCAAAACACCCTTTCTTTTGAACAAAATTAAGTTGCACCGCAAACAAGCGACAATGAAACATACTCGTCATATTGTATTTTCACTCAGCTTCATTGTTATTACCTACCTTGTTGTTCTCTCATCATTTTCAGTGCAAGTGGAGAGTTCTCGGCCTCTCAGCCATCGGCTTCCTCCTACTTCAACCAATTCATTCAGGATCGCTAAAGCTTATTCGGGTCCTAGTAGGAGAGGGATTGGCCACGTATCTCTAGCATATGCTGGCCCCAGTCATAGCGGGATTGGTCACTAATCAATCTATGATATATATATTTCTCTTTGGAATTTTGTTTCTGCTTGCTGCAGCTAGCAGCTTTTAGATAATTAGTTTTGGGTTTTGTTTGCTTCTCCTTAATAATACCATGCTTAGTTATAAAGGGTAGAAAATGAGTTTTGATTTGTTACGTTCAAGTGGTCACTCACTCCTGCTTATAAGTTTATGAGTGTACGGACCCATGAATTTTAACTGCAGCGGAAGAAAATATAGAAATATATATATTTCTTGTGTGTTCATGCTACTGGGTTTTTTTTTTTCTTTGCTTTAGAATGGGAACCAGAGGATCAGAAGGAGACATTGAAAGTAGTTCTATCTCGTGGAATGAGTGTTCGTTATATGAATGAATTTTCCGACGTAGGTCAAAGAAATGAAGGATTTTTTACGTTGTTTTGTAGATATTGACTTTGAATATTTTCTCCCACCATTTACATATGGGAGATGAATGAATAAGATGCCATGTGCTCAAACTAATTTTTAAAATTTCAAGCTCTAAGAGTCAAGAGATTAGTTACTTGGCCATAGTAGTACCTGTGCAGGCCAACGACCCTCAACCGATCCCAATTCTATAAAATTAGAAGCAATATATGAAATTTCAAATAAGTTTCATAAAATTTATATAACTCATTAATACCAAACAACACCTTACAAGTTCTAAACTTCAATCAATCTTCCTACTTATTTAATATTATATAAAATAATTCGTTCCTTTATAATTTAAAATCCAACTTTTTTTTTAATCTCTCAATATTACGGTCTATTATTGTAAAGTTGTAATCATCAATAAGAAAAAAAATACTGGCCTACTTTCAGAGTTCAAAACGCCAATACACCAAATTAATAATTAATTAACTTTAAAAAAAAAAAAAAAAAAAAAAAAATGGAAAGGAACGATTTTAACCGTTGTTTATGTTAGAGTAGTTGACTTTGAAATATTTGCTTCACAGCACACATTTTAAACATGAATGGGAATGAATGTAAATGAATGCCATGTGCCCTTCAACTATCTCATTTTTTAAAAATTTCAAGCTCTATAGAGAACAATGAGAGGAATTTGATTTAGCTGTGCACAAGATAGTAACCTGTGGCTATGCTCAACGAGCACCTCAACCGATCTCCGAATTCTTATTATGAAGATTTAAGACATATATGAAATTTCAAATTAGAGGATATCATGAGAAATTTAATATAACTCAATTATATACCCGAAAAGCCAAAGCCCGTTACCCCACAAAGTATACTAAAAACTTCACAAAATCAAAATCTCTACTTATTAAATTATAATAGTTAAAAATATGTCAGTTTTCCTTGTATAATTTAAAATCCAGACTAATATTTTTTTTTTAATCGTCTCAAATTATACGTGTCCGCTATGTATTTTATAATTATGTAATCATTACAATTAAGTAGAAAAATAAATAGCTGGACCTACTTTCAAAGAAGTTCAAAACGCACCAAATAACAGCACCTATAACTAATAATTATCACTTAACTTTTAAAAAAAAAAAAAAAAAACTGTTATTAAGATGTGTTAACAAAAAAAAAAAAAAAAAAAAAAAAAGCTGTTATAACTTGGTACTATTTTTTTCTCCCCAGGAATTGACACGTATACCATTTATATTCAGCCCAAACAAAACTTGAAATGCTTGAAGCCATCGACCCAATTAATTTTAAACTCAAACTAGAAAAGTATAAATTTGAGCCCAAACACAATTAGACAATCTAAATTCCGGCCCAAATAAGTGTCAAAGGCTAAAAAGGAATCTAATGCGAAGGGCACTCGTGTTGTGTTGTGACGTTTGTTTAAGATTTGTCGTATTATAACCTAAAAAGTGAAATGTGAAGGGTTTTTTGTTTTTTTTTTTTTTTTTTTTTTTTTTTTTTTTTTGAAAACTTATATTTTGGGAGGGGGCTTTTTAACCCCAATTAAAAATTTTTTTTCCCCCCCCAAAATTTCTTTCCCTTGGTGGGCTAACACTGATTGGATCAACTTTTTTTTTTTTTTTTTTTTTTTTTTTTTTTTGAAACTTATATTTTGGAGGCTACCAATATTCCATCTCCTTGGTGGCTAACACTGATTGATCAATGTTTTGGCAGGCTAAGCCACCTCCCAAATGGAGGCACCGTTCATGAGATGTCAATCTTCTGGCACTTGCATCACCTCCAACACTCTATTCCATTAACTTATCCTATTGTCCTTTAACTAATTTTCATTATCTTTTTGCAATATATATATATTTGTTACACACGCTGTTTTTACATTAAAAGTGTGAAATAATATTTAGATAAAATTCAATTCTCTGTGGCAGCAGCTTGCAGGATATATCTTTGTTCGTTCAATCCTGTATTAATTTTTTTTATTATATTTATTAATTGAACAAAAAAAAAGAAACAGATAAATGATAAGAGCGAGTTGAATTGATTACTTAAGAGGGAAATTGATAAAAAAAGATCCAGGTGCAAGATAATGCAAGTAAGGCAAAGCCAAGAACGTCATTTTCAAAACTGATTCTGAAAAATATTGCCAGGAATCATTGTAGCAAAACAACAATTCAGAAAAGGCATTGGACAAAAAGGGGAAAACACAAAAAAGAAATACCACCCACTCAACTTTCATCTCTTCCCATTTCTTTTTGCTTCCTGTCGTGAAGAATTGAAAACTTCGTTACTGCCCAGTCAGCAAAAACAAATTTGCCTCTTTTACGCCTTAATGCCCCCTTCAATCCTCGCGCAATTTAAGATCACTTGCCCAACAAGCTCCATTAATATTTAGTTAAAAAAAAAAAAAAAAAATTCTTTTCGTAACTAATCCTTCAAACATACCCTTACTATAATAATTTTAAATTATTAAAAAAAGGATAAATAATTTTATTATGAAGTTTCGACTCGTTTAAATTTATGAAATTCATTGAAAATTTCGCTTTTACTCTTTCTAAATCAATTCCTAGTGTCGGTCAATTAAGATTTATTGAATTTAAATCCATAAAATCGAATTGGTAGGATTGAAATCTTTATTCTTCTATAATTATGAATAGATTTTACAAATTTTATTTATTTGAAATGAGTGCATGTTGTGTTTTGTCTTGCAGGTTTTAGTGATGAAAGTGAAATTAGATAAGTATTAAAACATACTAAAATAATTTAAAAAAAAAAAGTATAAAATTGTAAAAATAGGAATAAAATAATGGAAAATGAAATGATAGTTTAGGTAGGAAAGGCGAGTGGGAAAAGGAAGGTCAGAAGCTAGGTCTACAGTAACAACAAATTAATAATACCCAAAATAATAAAGCAAACAAATGACACCGAAATAGAAATAAAATAATCCCAACACAAAGCTGGACAAATTCGTCAATTAAAGATAAAAAAGCAGGAGCATCAGACCCGCATTTATTTCCCTTCTTGTCCTCTTCGATAATCACCAAAACCAGGTCCCATTCCCCCATTTACCCACCTTCCCCAACTCCATTTCTTCATTCCCTTTCCATTTCCATCTCTCGATTTTTCTCTCCGCCATTTATTTCTTCTTCATGAAGCGTCCACTTGAAGCTGCGATTACCGCTGGTGATATCAAAATGAAGAAGATAAGGCACGACCAACAAAATGAAGAAATTCAGGATGGAGTTAGTACGGGAACTGGATTTGTTAATTTGGATGAGAATTTGCTATTCGAGGTCTTGAAGCATGTGGACGCGAGAACGTTGGGGAGGGCAGCCTGTGTGAGCAAGCAGTGGCATAGGACGGTAAAGGACGAGAGACTTTGGGAGCTGATCTGCACAAGGCACTGGGCCAATATTGGCTGCGGTAACCAACAGCTGAGATCCGTGGTCCTAGCTCTAGGTGGGTTTCGTCGACTTCACTCCCAGTACCTTTGGCCTCTTTCTAAGCCACAATCTAGTTCTATGGCTTCGAGTTCGTCGTCATCTTGGGCTCCTTTCCCGGCGATGATTGGGTCGAAGCCACCGGCTAGGTGGGGAAAGGACGAGGTGCATCTTTCCTTGTCTCTGCTTTCGATTCGGTATTACGAGAAGATGAATTTTAGCGGCAGAGGGAGATGAGTTAGAATTAGAATATTATTTATGATTAACTAAATATATATAGGAGTATGCTTTATTAACTCTAATTTCGGGTTTATTATCTTTTTTTTTTTTTTGTTTTGTATGTCTAAATTTGGCTTGGGATTTGTTTGCTTGTTTGTTTCTTTTCTTGTTTTGGATGTTGTATTTAATCTGGGTTTTACTAATTAGATCTGTAATCTGTAACCATATTGTAATGAATCAATTGTTGTTGGCTTGTTACCTAAATTTTATGTCCAATTGTGTAATGGTAATTAGGATTTGTGTTTTGATTTGTTAGCTACAATGGCTAGGAAATTTTTGCATTTTGGATAGGAGTTTGGAAGGGAATTTTGATGGAGGAAATAAAAATGGACAGAACCAAACGGATCCAGTTGTAATAAATGTCTGCTCATGCACTACCCTTTCTGGCAAGCTGCCATGGCCTAATCGTAAGGGACAGAGAGACTGGGTTTGTTGGCGATAGATAGTAGATCTTTAAAAGCCGAAGTCGTCTTCTGATGGGATTGGATTGTCGTATTTGGGAGTCTTTATTATTCCTTTAAAGAAATTCACGTTATGCGTTTTAGGGAGGGAAGTAGGTCTCGCTTGACTTTTTATATCTTCTTGTGAAATCAATGTATAAGTATACCGTATTTTCCATTCTTTCTTCCGTATCAATCCACAGTTGATCTGCTAATCTTAGCACTCCTTTTTTATGCCCTGCAGTGTTGAAACTTAAAGCGACTGCCAAAAAAGGTTTGGTTTTTGTTGAATTTTCCAATTTGGAGTTTGGTTTGCTTGCAGGTCGCAACCAGAGGATTATTATTTCGCTGTCTGGTTTGGTTGAACAGAACATCCATTAGTATTAACTAAGAATTAGTACAAATTATTCCAAAGTAACTTCCTTTGCTGGTGTAGAAAAGAAAAAAAAAAAAAAAAAAGGAAATAACCGGTTGTTTTTGGTTATTCCAAACACTTTTATCTTTAATTCCCATATTACACGGGGAAAATAAGATGGACTCTAAGTGGGTTTCAAGTCCAGCCCAGACTAGATTAGTTTTCTGTTGCTTGGACAAAGGCCTAATTGATGTAAGCGGGCCCCCGTTAATTCAATGGTGAGCATGTATAGTTCAGCTTGTCTTGCTTGGCCTTGGCCTTGGCCTTGGACTATGAATAAATTGATTGTCATCAGTTAATAAATCCCTTGTATAATACTTATACTACAGTACACCACACACCATTAGCAATTTGTTGGGCAGAGCATTTCCAGGAAATCCAAGTGCTGAAGCGAAACTTCTAGGCATGTGAAGAAAATTCATATGTTTAGGGTTCATACCTAAGACCTAAATCCCGTCCCGCAGCCCCGCAAAATTTGAATGAACCAGCGTTGAAAAGAATGAAAATATAAGACCTTTTGGACACCTTTTTCGAATTTTACTAAACGAAATGTTGCAATGTCAATACAGGATCAAATGTTTCTTCGTTTAAAGACTAAAAATGATCGCATATTTAAATCCATATTAATTATTATATCCTAAACAATAAGAAAATTCAAGAATTCATCTCGTTTACTTTTGAATCCCTGCATTATGCAAACTTGGTAATAATGCGAAAAAGAGAAGCAAGAAAGCTCATCTGCCTGATTTTCATATGTGGTTAACAATGAATAAATCGGCATTAGATCAATAAGCAAAAAACCTCACGATGATAATAATACTACTTAGCTCATGACTGGGATTCCATCGAATGAGAAATGACGAACGTTCTTACAGGGGTATGACATTGACACCTTGTTGTACTTTAATTATTAACTTCGTCGAAATATCAGTACATCCTATAAAACTTTTGTAAATGGGTTTTTTAGGGTTTTGGTCCCCTTCGCTTTATGCTCTCCTTTTTGGATGAGAGGTTACTTACGCTTGCGATTACGCAGGCAAAAACAAAAGAAAAAAAAAAAAAAAAAAAATTATATTTCCTAAACAATAAGAAAATTCAAGAATTCATCTCGTTTACTTTTGAATCCCTAGCATTATGCAAACTCGGTAATACATGCGGAAAAAAGAAGCAAGGAAAGCTTCATCTGCCTGATTTTTCATATGTGGGTTAACATGAAATAAATCGGCATTTAGATCACATAAGCGCAAAAAACCTTCACGATGATAATAATACTACTTTAGCTCATGACTGGGATCCATCGAATGAGAATGACGAACGTTCTTACAGGGGTATGACATTGACACCTTGTGATACTTTTAATTATAACTTCGTCGAAATATCAGTACATTACCTTATAAAACTTTTGTAAATGGTTTTTAGGGTTTTTTTGGTTCCCCTTCGGCTTTATGCTCTCCTTTTTGATGAGAGGTTACTTACGCTTGCGATTACGCAGGCAAAAAACCAAAGAAAAAAAAAAAAAAAAAAAAAAAAAAAAAAAAAAAAAAAAAAGATCAGTGGGCGATTTGAATTCCGAACGAGGACTAGTAGTTGTACAGGTTGAAAAGGTGCATTAAAAAACAAATATGCATATATAAGAGAATTTGAGCTTTGACGATAGTAGCTCTTACGTTTGCTTTAGTATAATATATGCGTTTTTCACAGTAACCAATAGCTTTCAAAGGGCAATAGGTGGCGGCACATTACAGGCCCTTTATAATCTATCACGTGCTTACTTTTGTTAGATTATTTCCTACCCCATTCACATTTTTCGTTAATAGTCAATCCTCAAACCTAAAGCTGATGCAAAAAAAATAAATACCACTGTGATTATTTTGTTTAGTTGCATGCATATAAAATCCCTATATATACCATACCACGCAGCACTGCTTCTCCATTGCAATATATTTCCCAATTAACTCTCTCGATCAACAACCAAACCCAGCACTCTATTTACCATATTGTTCTTGTTTTATCATCCATGGCTAGAACCTCTATGGCTCTTCTTTTTCTTACAATCTTGTCAATTTTCAGTATTTTAGAAGCTCGTCCTCTTAATATTGCAAATTCGAACAAAGGAATATTTGAGACGCATGCAAATTCTCAAACTCTAGGTGGAATCGAGCACTCTGGTCCAAACGATGGTGGTGAAGGACATTATCATACTACTGGCGCTCCTACTGTTCTTCGGGGGATCAAGTATTCTGGTCCAAGCCATGATGGCCAAGGAAACTATTACCCCACTAGTACACCTCAAACGCTTGGAGGGATCAAGCACTCCGGTCCAAGTAATAGGGGTGAGGGACATTACTACACTACTAGTGTTCCTCATGTTCTTGGAGGGATCAAGCACTCTGGTGCAAGCCACGATGGTGAAGCACATTACTACACTACTACTGCTCCTCCTTTTCTTGGAGGGATCAAGCATTCTGGTCCAAGCCATGGTGGACAAGGAAACTATTACACTAATAATGCTCCTCAAACACTTGAAGGAATCAAGGCCTCGGGTCCAAGCCATGGCGGTGAAGGACATTACTATACTAATAGTGCTCCTCAAACACTTGAGGGAATCAAGGCCTCCGGTCCAAGCCACGGCGGTGAAGGGCATTACTACTCTAATGGCGCTCAAACACTTGAAGGAAGCAAGGCCTCTGGTCCAAGCCATGCCAGTAAAGGACATTTAATGGCCTAATGGCGCTCAAACACTTGAAGGAAGCAAGGCCTCTGGTCCAAGCCATGCCAGTAAAGGACATTCCCCTACTACTAGTGGTCCTCATGTTATTGGGGGAATTAAGGCCTCGGGTCCAAGTCATGGCGGTGAAGGACATTACTATACTAATAGTGCTCCTCAAACACTCGAAGAAATCAAAGCCTCTGGTCCAAGCCATGGCGGTGAAGGACGTTCCTATACTAATAGTGCTCCTCAAACACTTGAAGGAATCAAGGCCTCCGGTCCAAGCCACGGCGGTGAAGGGCATTACTACACTAATGGCGCTCAAACACTTGAAGGAAGCAAGGCCTCTGGTCCAAGCCATGCCAGTAAAGGACATTCCCCTACTACTATTGGTCCTCATGTTATTGGGGGAATTAAGGCTGGGGAATTAAAGCGACCTCGGGTCCAAAGTCATGGCGGTGAGAACATTACTAATACTAAAGTGCTCCTCAAACACTCGAAGAAATTCCAAAAGCCTCTTGGTTCCAAGCCATGGCGGTGAAGACATTACTATACTAATTAAGTGCTCCTCAAACACTTTTGAAGGGAATCAAGGCCTTCCGGTCCAAGCCACGGCCGCGTGAAGGGCATTACTTACTCTTTAATGGCCTCAAACACTTTGAAGGAAGGCAAGTCCTCAAACACTTGAAGGAATCAAGGCCTCCGGTCCAAGCCACGGCGGTGAAGGGCATTACTACTCTAATGGCGCTCAAACACTTGAAGGAAGCAAGGCCTCTGGTCCAAGCCATGCCAGTAAAGGACATTGCCTTACTACTAGTGGTCCTCATGTTATTGGGGGAATTAAGGCCTCCGGTCCAAGCCATGGCGGTGAAGGACATTACTATGCTACTAGTGCTCCTCAAACACTCGGACAGATCAAGCACTCTGGTTCTGGCACTGGTGTTCGAGGAAACTGAGTAGTTACGGCCATATATAGCTAGATATTTTTGATACATGATGTTTTAATTAGAAAATTATTAATCTTTTATTAGTTCATTTAATTTGAATGTTAATAATGTAGTAAGTGAAGACTAGCAAGAGAACTTCTTTTGCAGATTGACGTATGAGGTATGACAATAACTAGTTGTGTTATTAATATCAGTAACAACGTGCCCCAATCTATTTTCATTCTAAAATTTATGACCATGTATTCTTTTTAATTTTATATCATACATTAAAACTACAGTATATCTATACAAAACAACTGTCCTCATCAAGGATATTCAACCTCCAAGACTATGGGATTTTGCTTCATGAGGTGGTATACGTAGTTGGAATTCAATATTGTTAGTGACAATTTAACCGCTAATTTTATTAATTATTACCTCTAAGAAATACTTAAGCAAACATTATGGTCTAGTGATTTTTTTTTTTTTTTACTCTAAAATGGTAAAACCCCTTAATTTTGTTAGTCCAGCAACTGTAAAATACCTGAGCAGTGTTTCTATATAGTCAGACATCAAGCAAAATCCAAATGCCAACTCCACTCACTAGTATGAAATTTTGACCTTATTCTAACTTGGTAACTTGACTATTCTTTATTTATTTTATTATTATTATTATTATAGTCATTATCAAAATTCAAATGAACGATGAAGTAATTCGTGACTTGGAAACCACACCATGTATAAGTGGATTTTTTATTAATTAATTTCGCAGGCAGACAGACAGACAGACATCTTCAAACGACAAAAGAAAATGCAAGTAAACCTCGTTTTGAGACAAAATATTGAAGAATACAATCTTTTAATGTTTAATTGCGTGTTCTATTTCTAACGTAGACACGTAGTCATTTGTTTCAACGGTAAGGAGTGACGGCGACTAGCTGCAGACCCCCAACTGCACGTGGTTTCCCTCTCCCTTTAATTCTCAGTCAAATCCTTTTAAAGATTATCACTAATGGCGTAACATAATAGTGATTAACTAAATATAAACACCAATTCATCTAATGTAAACTCTCTGAGGCTCAGCAAGTCGCTTTCTCGCCATACACAAACTCTTGAAATTGCATTCGAATTTTAAGTATTGAATGATTTCTTGCTGTCAGTTTTCTGAAATTGATTGATTTAATAATTTAATCTACGAATTTAAATTATCTGTCTGACTTTTAAACGAAGGTCATGGGCCTGGAATGGGCCAACATGAGCCTCGCGTCGCGTGATTGCAAATGCTTTTGTCAGTTGATGATGGCGGTTTGATTCGGTTGGTTTGGTTAAAAAGATAAACCCCTCAAAATTAACAGTTAATCTATCATTTCCCCTTCACTGGAATTAACTGACAAACGCCATTAATCGCTGTTGGCTAATTATTGCTTCCGCTCTTATCCGATTCCACCAAAGGATCTCCTCTTTGAAATTGATAGATAATAATATTGAAATCCGCGAACAATCTAATCGTGACGGGGCTTCACAAAAATGGGAAGCTCAAACATTCAACCAAACCACGACAACTCTGCCACTGTATCGGACGGTTCCACCACCAAGACTGACTCTGACTCCGAAACCGACGTTGATGAAGAATGTCCTGGCCCCTTCGAAGTAGGTGAAAAAGTCCTTGCTTTCCATAACCATCTACCTTATGAAGCCAAGGTAAAATCTCTATTGGAGCTGCATATGTAAAATTAAGCTTGATTAATTCCTTTTCTGCCCGATATTTTTCATTTAAATATTCCTATTTCTAATTGACAGTAAATTTGTTATGGCATTTCATCGGTTGTGCTTCAAAATTTGATTGCATGATGTTCCAATCAAAATAAGTAACAAGCAGATCATATTTATTTGAGTTTTAGGAAATTTTGTGTGCGTTTTTACAATGGTTCTTTTTTTGGCCTCTTCAAGGTGATCAAAGCTGAATACCAATTGAACGGATGGAAATATTTTGTTCACTACCCTGTAAGTATCATTCAGCACAGTATTGTTTATCTTTTCTTCCTGATCATGTAGTGCAATTTGACCACAGCAGCTTTTTCCTTCCAATTTAAAGACATTCCTATCATCTGAGTAGTTATGCTATGTGACTTTCTATTGCTGCATTTTTTGATTGCATAATCTCATTGTTTTGCAGGGTTGGAACAAATAGTGAGTGGCATCTACCCTAACTCTTGATTTTTGTTTGAGAGTCGAGAGAAGCAGGTGGTTGTTGAACTATGTTTGTTTATTCTGTTTTACTATTCACTTCGCATGTGATGCTCGAAGCGATTTCTACAATTCATATTCTACGTATACGTTATTTTTTAATTCCAATTTTACTTTGTAAACATTGCATTTTTTTTTTTTTTTTTTTTTATACGTATTTTTTTAATTCCCAATTTTTACTGTAAAACATTGCATTTTTTTTTTTTTTTTTTTGTTTTCCCCTTTTTTTTTTTTTTTTGTTTTCCCCTTTTCCTTCTATTACATTGAGAGCTCTGAGGAAATTCATGATCTTATTTGAGAGTTGAAAACGTTTGTATCACATTAAATCATTAGGATGATGCATGCTTCTAGTCATTACTGTAACTATCATACATTTAATTGCAAGATGTTGCTTATTTTATGCTTTGCCTTCAATTTTATTTTCTCAAGGAAGTTACTACACCCCTGCCTGCATATAAAATGAATGATGTAGTTGTGTCTTTTGTGAAATTATCGGCACACAAATTTCTTCCACATGCTCTTTATTACAGCAAATTGGTCTTCTTTTGCGCCTTTGTGATTTCTGAAATTCGACGTTTTTGAATGACTTTCCCTTGAGGTGTATTTGGATTTTTGGACTTTCACTTAAATTTCCAATTTAACTTTCTGATAAAATTTTATCTTGCTTGATTTGCTTATTCATTTTAGAGTATTTAAGGGGACCATATTAGGTGTTACTATTTGAAAGTTGCAAATGTTTGTATCACATTTTAAACCATTAAGGTGATGCATGCTCCTAGTCTGTACTGTAACTGTCATACATTCAATTGCAAGATATTGCTTATTCTATGCATTGCCTTCACTTTTATTTTCTCCAGGAAGCTTACAGGTATTATGTGAAATTATTGGCAATCATTTTGTCTGCTCTTTATTACAACAAACTGTTCTCGTTTCATGCATTTGTGATTTCTGAAATTCAACGTTTTGAATGACTTTCCCTTGAAGTGCATTTTGATTTTGGGACTTCCACTTAGATGTCCAATTTAAATTTTCTGCATAAAATTGTCCTCCTTGATTTGCTTATGAATTTTAGAGTATTTAAAGGGCAATATTTGGTGTTACTATTTGAGAGTTCAAAATGTTTGTATCACTTTTTAAATCGTCAGGATGATGCATGCTCATACTTAGTACTGTATATTTGGTGTTACTATTTGAGAGTTCAAAATGTTTGTATCACTTTTTAAATCGTCAGGATGATGCATGCTCATACTTAGTACTGTAACTGTCATACATTCAATTGCAAGATATTGCTTATTCTATGCATTGCCTTCACTTTTATTTTCTCAAGGAAGCTTACCATGCTCCCACATGCATATAAAATGAATGATGCAGTTGTGTCTTTTCTGAAATTATCGGCTTGCATTTTTCTTCACATGCTCTTAATCTGGTCTGCTTTAATGCCTTCGAGATTTCTGAAATTCGACATTTTAAATGACTTTATTTTGAAGTGCATTTAGATTTTTGGACTTTGACTTAAATATCCAGTTTAAATTTTCTGCATAAAATTTTGTCTTGCTTGATTTGCTTATTTATTTTAAAATGTTAAGGGGCCATAATTAGGTATTGCTATTGATGAATATCTATATATTTTGGAGAGATGAACCAATGCAGTTGAAAGTTCAGCTGGGGGCAGGAATATGCTTAAGCTTCTTTATTTTGGTAGCTCGCTCTGCTAGTTAGAAACTCTAATAAGTTGTCATTTCTTGACTTTTAATTTTTCCAACAGTTGGGATGAATGGGTTGGAGTGAAACGTTTGATGAAACATAATGATGAAAATGTGCAACAATTCCTCAAGAAAAAGCAGGACTTGGAGAAAACCGCCAAGGCAGGGCGGGCATCACACATTAAACCAAAAAGTTCCAGTGGTAAGAATGATTCACATTCTCATTTTAGATTATATTGAATCTTAAATGTAATTGTGCTTTGTCGAGCTTTGGTTCAGGTATGTAAAAGGATAATGTTGGATTGTGTTACATATATGGCTATCCCTGCAAAGCAGGGGAAGAACACCTTTAATGATTCCACTATCAAAATCATCATTGCACGAGAGAAACTTTGTTAGTTCTAATCTCAGATGTCAAACTGAAGCTTCTAATTGTTGATTCGCAAATATGTGCTATGCCATATTCTTTGAATTGAACTTAAAAGTTATATATATGCAGTTCCAAGAGGCAAGAAGCGGAAAGGTGACTCGCTAAATAAGGTAACTTTAGGTTATCCCTGCCCATTGCCTAATGCTCTGTCGGTGTGCCAATGTCAATTGATACACATCCCTTGAATGTAAAATGCATATCAGCTGACAATTTCTTTTCGTCTTTCCAATGGTTTATAAAGAGGTATCCGATTCATAATTTGCATCTCTTTGCTTTGTTAGGAAAAAGATTTGGTACCCTTGGAAAAGTTTGTGAATCTCCAAATTCCACCCATGCTAAAGAAGCAACTTGTTGATGATTGTGAATTTATTACTCATCTGGGCAAGGTAATTGTATCTTGATCACATTTTTCAAATTGATTTCTCAGATGGTGCCTTAGTCCTCAAATTATTTGTTGGTGGTTATACAGCAGAGCTGTATTACATTGAGGTTCATTTTGCTGTTGAACTTTTTACTTTTTCTTTGATCATCTTCATTTATGCATCTTTCAATTGTCTCAGACTCTCAGTGTGCTTAAGTATCTAATCAAGTAAGAAGGCTGGATGACATGTTAATACATTTCGGTGTCTTATTAACAGTCTGAATATATAAGACACTAATAGATAAAAACAAAATCTGAGCCAATGGCTGGCTTGCTATTTAAATTTTGTTGCTGTGTCTATTTTTCATGTTCTATTAATTGATCTATTCTTCATATTCTAAGTGACTACAAGGCTGATCTGGTTATTTATAATTATAATATCAACAGTATTACTGATCTTTTTGTTTTTTTTTTTTTTGTGTGTGTGTGTGTGTGTGTTTAATTGAACAATTACTTTCAAGCCCTGTTCATAAATGATTTCCTGGGTTTGATTTATTCGCTCTGTGTCAGCTTGTTAAACTTCCTCGTAAGCCTAACGTGGATAACATCATGAAGAAGTATCTTGATTATAGATTAAAGAAGGATGGCTTGTAAGTTTATTCCCCTCCTTTTTTAACTTTTCTAGCTTTTGATATTTTCCTACTTGGCTGCAATGTTTGAGTTATAAGATTTGGCAGACTCCAACTCTATGGTTGATCAGATCCAAATAGTTACCCGTGCTTTCTGTTGTCAGAATCTTTTAATTTTATTTTCTCCTTCTGTTAAACTTCCTATTAGTTCTGCGTGTGTATAAGTAGCTTTTGAACTCTGAAAAGCTTTAGGAAGGAAAAAGCTGACCTAGCCTTGGTTTGAAATAACTAAACTAATAAATTTTCTCCGACTATTTTGATTGTCTTGAAAAAAGAAGAAAATATCCTTTTATTCTCATACTAATTTTCTGTTTTGCTGATATTTTAATGTTTTATGATTTGGTGGGTTTAGGATTTCTGAAGCAGTTGTAGAGATTACAAAAGGTTTATGTTGTTACTTCAACAAGGCATTGCCAGTGATGCTTCTCTATAAAAGTGAGCGTGAACAGTATGCTGATGCAATTAAAGATGATGTCTCTCCCTCAACTATATATGGTGCAGAGCATCTCTTACGCCTGTTTGGTACGCTTGTTCTTTGGTGATATATGAAATAGCTTGTAATTGAAAACTATATCCTCCGTTGCTCATATTCAAAAAGCAGTCAGCTACTTATTATTCTTACTAGTAAAAGGAAATATAAATTCCAGCTTCAGGTAATGTTGATTTCATTGAATGAAGTCGCTGATTCATTCATAAAAACTACTTATGTGTTAGGTTTGCTCGTGTCATTTTTTCGGGTTAAGCGATGTTGTTTTTGCACTACAATGCATAACAAACGTGTGGTAAATTTACCCTTTATTTTTCTTAAGTTATGTGATTGATTGTTAGGCTTGGCAGATTGGTTATTCTATGGGCATGAATTATTTCACTTGTAGAGTTAGGTTGCCACAGAAAGTTGATGCTGAAGCAATTAGTAGCAATGTGCCCCCCACCCCACCACCAAAAAAATAAAGATGCCGAGTCATTTAATAGGATGGGCTGTAAGATATTGTCTTTTTGTTTTAATTTAGAAATGTGATGCTGCATTAATTTAGGATGACTGTTTTTCTGGTTTAATCTCAGCTGCTTATTTCTTTTCATTCATTACGGCATGTAATTGGATTAAATTGAGAGTTGCATGTGTGTTGATGATCATATGAAATTGTTTTGTAATTTATTCTCTTGTCACATTTGATTTTCATATTAGAAAAATAACAGTAATTCAAGATGGATTATTATAGTAGTTAGGAACATGTGCTAATGTGTTTTCTATTGATTCATATCTATATTTTCTTCTATATGTGGTGTATGTTGGATTGGGAAATGTAGATAATGGCCGAGTTGTTGATTGCTATTTTTGCTGGAAATTTTCTTTTTTCTTTTTTGTTGAAAATTTGCAGTAATGACTCTGATTGGCATCTTATTGGCTTGTATGACTTATTAAACTGGTAGCCACGGTAAGCTTGCCTGCTGTTTACATTTCTTTGACCCTTGCAGTTAAGTTGCCGGAGTTGTTAGGCTATGCAAACATTGAAGAGGATACACTGATGGAATTGCAGCAAAGATTGGTCGATTTTCTCAAGTATGACCTAGACTCTTGAAAATGAATAATCCTTTTAGCGGGTCTGTTTCTATAATTTATATCTGCATTTTAATTTGAATAATCAGTATAAAATAAAGATTCACTCAGGATAATGGCGTTCTATAAGTCCAACTTGGATCTTATGTTCTGTATCTGAAGACATCAATCATACTTGGGGTGACAAAAGCCAAAAAAAAAAAAATGTAAATAAATAGAAAGGAAGAAAGATGACATCCACGGAATTGAAATATCTTCATGTTGAGTTCATGTTCAAAACAACTACATACAAACCTGAAAGAATTTTTAAAATTCTTCAAGCGGAGGAGATAAAATTGTTAACATTTTGGGAAATCTTTTCTGTTTTTAAATAACAGGATGGCTTTACATCTCATTGAAGATGTTTTAAGAATGCCACTATTATTGGTTGCATTTCTTTTTTCTGCAGGTTTCTGCAGAAGAATCAGAGCACTTTTTTCCTCTCTACTTACCATGTACTGGAAGATACTGAAACATGCCGCAACAGACGGGATGGTTAGGTTGGGTTGTAAAGGTTAGAGCTTTGTAAATACTATACCATAAAACTAAAGCAGTTGGTATATTTCTTCTAACCATTTTGTCATTATGCACCTCAAAACTTGTATATTGAGAATTCAAGAGCTGATGCCCGAAACTGTGCAGTCTAGGAGGGAAAATGTCTTAGAAGAAAAAGCTACATTGGAAATTGTAGCAAGAAACTGTAATGGCCATGCCGATACTTTTAAAAGGCATTTCTTTTGTTCTCGTCTCTTTTAATTTCTGACTACACTTAAAAGGTCTTCTGGGTTTTGCAGGTGTTGTGCATTAAGTGAAAATTTTTCATATCCACTGTTGGCAGAATGAAAAATTTACTCCAAGCGACTTGTCGTGTGGTGAGGTTGTGAAAAATATTAGGCTAATAGGTTTGTTACTGCTTGAACATGGATATGCCCCAGCTTTGTGAGTGTTTGTTGGGAAAGGACGTGGTCGAGTTGTTCATGAATAACCATAAACTACCTAAACCGATTCCAAATTGAGGTTTGACTTGATCTGAAAATGTAAAAAATTTAAACGTCTGGTTCGTTATATGATTTTAAAATGAAACTGTCTAAACCGAACTAAATTAAACATATATATACAATAAATATTATTTGTACATTAAATTATGCAAATTAAGTTTCTTTTTAATAAGTCATATATGTAATATCTCATACTCGTACACACGTATCAATGAGTTGACAACTGTTTTCTTTAATTCATAAAGGATTTATTAATTTGAATTCACGTTTTAATATTTTCATTTCATAAAAATGAATACTTTTCGAACGCCTCTCAAACTGAATCAAATCGTATTTATAGGTTTCATTAGTTTGATTTGTAATCTTTATTTATTGATTATTAATGAATTCAAATTTTATTTTCACCGTTAGAGAATTAGATTCTTCCATCTGAAGTAGCTAAAGTCGATAATTAAATAGCTGAGAAGTTGCGGGTTCATCATTATGCTGAGGTCATGCGTTCGATTGTACATAATGTAAACTCTCTTCTGATCGGTCTCTTTCCCCTCTAAAGGCTTACTGAGAATAGTAAGATTTATGAATCTTTAAAATGGATCCAAGTCTGTACAGTGGAAGTATAAAAAAAAAAAAAAGTTGAGAAGTTGTAAGTTGCGTTGAATACCTGGGGCTCACACGTACGATTACCATGTGCTGTAATAAGTAGAGTTAGGAAAAATTTGATGGAGACGGAGAAAATAAGGAATGTAGAACGAAAGCAGGCAAAAACCTTTTACTTTTCAACGGGGTGTTTGACTTGTCTATTGTACATGGTCTAATTTCTATATCTAGCCAACCCAAGATGCGTAGACAATATCGTCTTTGGTTATACTGAACAAAAAGAGATTAACAGTCTAATAACTAACTATATATTCTATGCTAACGGTCTGGTTCATCATGGATCATGACAGGTCATCTAAATATTCTCCTTTTACATTTTTCCATTTCACCATTTTTATATTAATTATCTAGTTATCTATGGAACTAGTTGACAATAAGAAAGGGAGTGTTTAGCTGTGCAATGATGGATTATGCAATAATTAGAGTTTTTTTAGCTTTATTTCACTTTGATTACAGTTATGATGATGTATTCACCAACAAGATCCACGTCTTCATTCCAAGCCGCCAAATTTGACATTCTCCACTATTTATTCACGGAAATTACTTATCTAAATCCATCGTATAAAACCGTCATTACACCTCGATGTATAGACTAATAAAAAAAGGGTTAAAAAAATAGTACTACTTTGTCATTTTTTTCTCTGTGTATGGTTAGAATTACCTTCGTTCAAACCAAAACATTATTTTCATTAGTTTGATACATAGGTAGGTCTATGATCCCGGGTTAAGTCTTTCTCTCAAATCGATGAGTAACTATCAGTATTCTTATTCTATTATCCTTGTATGCGGAATGATAAAAAAAATATTCCATCTTTATTTTTAACTGATTGGTCACCATTGAATTGATTAGTACAGAGAGTAAGAGTATCGCCGAAATTTCGCCCAGCAGCCTTTCCTACTGCTCAAGTCTTTATAAGTCCTTAAATGCTTAGCCTGGTCATATTGATTGGAAACTGGGAATTGTTGCACATTCTTGTGTCATTTGCATTCACATTTAACATACAGCTCATGCTATTTCAATACCCAACTAAAGTTAACGAAGGCCAACCTTCTGCTGGTTCAAATCTCAATCTTCTTGAATTTCAACATATGGGAACCCATTTTTGCTTTATTTTATTGTCTCTGATGATTATATCGCCTTCTTTTTTGTCTTCTGCATCCTATTCTGTTTTAAGAGGAGGTTCATATCTTGCTGTGGAGAATCCACAAGATGTTTTGATTTCACCAAGTAGAGTTTTCTCTGCCGGCTTTTACCCTGTTGGCGAAAATGCTTACGGCTTTGCTATATGGTTCAGCAAACCATCTTGCAGTGACAATTGCACTGTTGTTTGGATGGCAAACCGCGATTTTCCAGTTAATGGCAAACAATCAAAGCTCTTGCTATTAGAAACTGGAAATCTTATCTTAACAGATGCTGGTAAGTCCAATGCTTGGTCTAGCGAGACTGTTTCCGTATCCCCAGCAGAGTTACACCTACAAAATACTGGTAATCTTGTTATAAAGAATATGGAAGGCGATATCATATGGCAAAGCTTTGACTCACCTACAGATACCCTTCTTCCTCTGCAACCATTCACCAGAAATGTCCAACTTGTCTCTTCAAGAAGCCGCAACAATGTCTCTACTGGTTTCTACAAGCTAATTTTCGCTGATAATAATCTTATTCGTCTTCTCTACGATGGTCCAGATGTTTCTAGTGCTTATTGGCCAGATCCATGGCTTCGTGATTGGGAAGGTGGGAGGTCCCCGTACAATAGCAGTAGAATTGCCTCATTTGATTTGTTTGGCAAATTTACATCATCTGATCATTTAACTTTTCTGTCGGTGGATTATGGAATGAGACTCCAACGGAGGCTGACACTTGATTCTGATGGAAATGCTCGACTGTACAGCCGAGAAGAGGGTAGCACGACTTGGGTTGTTTCATGGCAAGCAAAATCTCAACTATGCGAGATTCATGGAATTTGCGGTCCTAACAGTACATGCAGTTATGATCCAGCTTCTGGTAGCCAATGCTCTTGTCTTCCAGGATATAAGATAAAAAATAATCTTGACTGGTCTTACGGCTGTAAACCGGAATTCAATCTCTTGTGTGGAAGTGATACGGAGGCTGGTTTCGTTCAACTCAAACACGTTGAATTTTATGGCAATGATGATGGCTTCTATCCCAATGTCAGCTTGGAGATGTGCATGAAAGTTTGTTCACAATCATGCGGTTGCAAAGGGTTCCAGTACAGGTATGTTGGGGATACTCCAGTTCCTCATTGTTACCCTAAGATATCATTGATAAATGGGCAATACAACCCCAGTTTTGGTGGCGACTTCTACGTGAAAGTTTCCAACACCAGTTTATTCTTGAACAAGGAAACAGTTTCATCAGGATTAGTGTTTGATTGCTCTAGTGAACTACTTGCACCTCTGGAAAGAACTTACCCAAAAAGCAGTGAAAACAAGACCTTGAATTTCATGCTTTGGGTCACCTGCGGATTAGGAGGAATCGAGATGATTAGCATCTTTCTTATCTGGTGTTTCTTACTTAAGTCTCAAAAGGACTCATATGAGGATACACAAAGCTACCATCCTGCAGCAACTGTATTTAAAAGATTCACGTATTCTGAGCTTAAAAAAGCAACCAGAAATTTCGGCAAGGAAATTGGAAGGGGAGCAGGAGGAATCGTATACAAGGGTAACCTACCTGATAATCGAGTTGTAGCAATCAAACGACTTCTTAGTATAGCTAACCAAGCAGAAGCTGAATTTCTAGCAGAAGTCAGCACCATTGGGAAAATTAATCACGGAAACTTGGTACAAATATTGGGTTATTGTGCAGAAGGGGAACACATGCTTTTGGTATACGAGTACATGGAGCATGGTTCCCTGACAGAAAATCTCTCTTCAAACGCACTTGATTGGCGAAAGCGGTTCGACATCGCCCTAGGAACTGCAAGAGGACTTGCTTATCTACATGAAGAGTGCTTGGAGTGGGTTTTACATTGTGATGTGAAGCCACAAAATATACTGCTGGACTCAACTTACCAGCCAAAGGTATCAGATTTTGGGTTATCCAAACTGCTAAGCAGAGCTGACCAAAATGATAAAAGCTTCTCAAAGATAAGAGGAACAAGAGGTTATATGGCTCCTGAGTGGGTTTTTAATCTGCCAGTCACATCCAAAGTAGATGTTTACAGCTATGGGATTGTTGTGTTGGAGATGGTGACAGGAATGAGCCCAACCATTGGAAATCAAAGTAAAAGTGGGGAGACAGAGCACAAAGGACTGGTCAAAGTGGTCAGGGACAAGAAAAATGGGGCTAATGGAATGACGCCATGGATTGAAGAGATTGTAGACCCAAGGTTAGAAGGAAAATTTGAACATGCTAAGATGGAAAAACTGGTGACATTAGCCCTGCAATGCGTTGAGGATGACAAAGATAACAGACCCACCATGGGTAGAGTGGTCGAGATGCTTGAGCACCTTAAAAATTATGATTAGCATAATCATTATATGTTGTGCATTCACTATTTGCTCCAGAAATGTATTATTTTTTTTTTTTTTTGGCTACGTTGCTCTTTTTTTGTTTCTTTTTAACTCATGTAATGTATAGGATAATGTTTTGATCCAAAACTTGAAACTTTTTTTCACTTAAACTTATTTAACCTGCTCCTTTTTTATATAATTCTAGTCCAAAGCTTAAATTTTTACCATTGTGTCATCTAACTTTAAGATTTCAATTTTGGTAACACTATACCAATTAAAGTTTAAAAATTTTACAAACTTATCATATAATTTCACAATTTTTTATTTATACAACTTTGATTCAAAGTTTGAAACTTCTATTGAATGTCCTTCAAGTTGATTTCATTTTACTTTAATAATTTGACCTAAACCTATAAACTTATAAACATATGAGATTAGAAACTCAAATAGAACTGTAAAAAAGAAGTGAGAAAATAAATAAATTTGAAATAAAGGGTAATGGATTGAAGAGATTGTGGCAATGCTCTCTGCTAGTGTCTAGTAAGGCGACGAAAAAGGTGGGGAAGAAAAAAACGTTGAATGGCGAAGAACTCCATCCGTGTGCGGACGGCAAGCAACTAGGTAGTCTTGCGATGCATCAGCACGTCTTCGCAAGTTGCATGGTCAACTGTATTTATTTACTTATCCACTAAAGTGTTCCAGCCGACGGAACTAATTTATAATACGTACAAAAGCCTATAGAAAAAGACCAAGACCACAGCGAGCCTACCAAAATACGATGCATTTGAAATTCTTCGCGATAAATCATTCCTTCTGAAACTATATAATATGAATTTTGAAAAAAAAGGAAAAGAAAAAAGAAAAAATATAATATAGTCTTTGCTTTTCTTTCATCACTTGAAAGGCACAGGTGCACTGCAGCGCTGGCCACGGGACTGATTTTAATACAAATATTGAACAAAATAAAATTAAAAAACCATTCTTAAGAAACTAGAAACCCTAACCCCAAGAGGCCCTGACCAAAAAAAATTATGGAAAATCACATTTTGATTCTTAAAATATAAAAAAAATTATATTTAACCTCTCTACAAGTTTTAAAAATTTCATTCGTCTCCCTCAAAATAATTTTCTAATTTCATCCCTGCCCAAGGCATGCGGCTAACACAAAGTAAGTAATACAGTAATAATACTAGGTGCTCTAGAAGATTTCGACATACTTCTCTTTCTCTCTCTCTCTGTATTTTTTTTTTTTTTGAGCGATTTAAAATTGTAAATAAAATAAAAAATCTCCAATTGGCAGAACTTGACAGAGAGATGACATAAAAAAGGAAAGTTGAATGAGCAAGCAACTGAAGGTTTATGCACGCAACTTGGCATTAATTTGACTTGTCTTTCTTAACACATGCCCAGCGTCCAAGAGCAAGTATCCAATTTTTCTATTTGTAATATATATATATAAGCTGACTTGGCACTCTCGTACATTTTTTAGCATTTCCATTTTTTTTATTTTTATAATTTTTTTATATTTTTATTATTTTTTTTCATATTTAATAATTTTTGAACTTTCGATTTTCTTATCTATATATATCTATATCTAAAATAATTAAAACTTTTAAACTTTTAAATTTTTTTTTTTTTCTTTTTTTCTTATTCTTATATCTATTATACTCTAATATATAATATATATATAATATGATATGATATTTGAATCTTCCCTAAGTTGGTTTCCAAAGGTACTGGTTCTCAAACACCATTAGATTTTTCCTTTGCAACACTTGTAATCTTTGTTTTCCGCCAGAATTGACAAATATATTTGAATCTTCCACCTAATTGTTCCACAGGTACTGTTTCTCAAACACCATTAGAATTATTCCTTTGCAACACTTGTAATCTTGTTCCGCAGAATGACAAAGCCAGACGAAATGAATGGTCATCTTCAACATTCGCAACCGCCATTATTTACTATTTATGTATTTGTTCATCGGTCATCAAGCAGAAAGAGAAACAAAGATAAATCTTTTTTCAATTGAATGATTTTGTTTTACAGGAGAATCTCAATTTGAGATTAATGGTTTTTTTCTACTTCACTGTAAGTATTTCTTCGTGAATTAAACTCCTCACCTTATTGAAATAATTCATTAAATTTAAGTGTACCTTATAATCTGAATTACTGTTTATAGATAATTGCATAATTTCTTCTTCAGAGGTCTGATGCTTTCATTCAATTCAAAGGATGTTTTACCATATATGTTTGTTGCGTTTAACAGAATTCAATAGTTCCATATTTAAAACGATTAGATCTTCCACTAAAAAAAAAAAAAACTATTAGATATTGTTATTTGATTTTTCTTATTTCAATTTCGTATAATGCAAGGAAATAAAATAATATTTTATCAAATAGGTGAAATTCTAAATAAAATTCATAAAATTAATTAATTAGCAACCTGCCTTTTGATTTCCTCTACTCCTTCAACCAATTAACTTGTACACTTAATTCTCTCCCTCCCTCCCTCCCTCCCTCCAATAAAGATCATTTAGAAAAGTACAAATTATATTATTTTTTATTATATGAAACATGAAAATATATTATAAAAATTGAAATATATAACAAATTACTGACTTGGAATTGACCAGGCAATCAACTCCTCCTATTGGATTCTTTTTTTTTTTTCTTTTTCTGAATTTGTGTTGAGTTGAGTTCTTAAAAATGAAAATTTATGTCTAACATTGCAGGCTAAATCTTTAAAAATATCTCAAACTTTGCATATAGTTTTAATTGTACTCTAAATTCAATTTTCTTTTTCTAATACTCTGAACTTATAATAACACCCTAATTTTAAATTGTACCAAATTTAATAAATAAAATATTATTTTTGTAATAAATATTTATATAAATATTAAAATAAAAAATAATATATTCATCCTAAAAATAAAATATTTTTTTATTTATATAATATTAACGACAAGTAATGATTTCCGAAAAATGAAAAGACATTGTAATAAATAAAACCTATTTTTACAAGAGATCTAACTTAAGTATAATTTCAATAAAGCTTAAGTAAAATTCCATGTTTAAAAAATGGCAAAACAAAAACATATACTAATATTATATGCTTATAACTAACTAAAATTTTGGTTAACCTGACCGGAGAGAGTATATAAGTCTAATGAAAATAATATTTTTATCATTATATTGGTAAAATTAGAAATTAGGGTGCTATTGTAACTAAAGTCGAAGTTCAGGGTATTAAGAGAAGAAAATTAGATTTAAGGTACAATTAAAATTATTCGCAATGTTTAGGGTTTTTTTTTAATGATTTAGCCAACATTGCAACAACCATCTAATTATTTTCTAGTCAATTTCTAAGTCCTTCCCTCTAAGTCATATATGTGCACGAATTTCCAAAACAAAACACTAATTAGAAGACAAATTAAAGAGTAATTAACAAAATTTCTGTATACAAGGTAATCATAATCGAAGTGAGAAAGAAAGTGCATGTGGCTGCACTCATGCACTAAACAACCATAAATCCAGTTTTGACCTTCTTAGTCTTGACTCCAAGTAAATAATGACGGATCACTCACATAGTTCTTCCCATGAAGCACGGATTAGGAAATAATTTATCAATTGATTATGGTCATGTTGACAATTATCTTATCGCACATCTTTGTCCGAATTGGAAAGAATGTTTGCATTTACACTTCAGATTCGTACTATTTTAACCCTTGCGCAACTTCGAACTGCAAGGAGATCAAACTTGCACTTCTATCTTCATGAGCTTTAAAATGGATATACTGTTTTTCCTGATTGTATTGCTTCTTGTTATATCGCCTTTTATTTCATTATCTGCTTCTGATTATGCTTTAAGGTGGGGTTCACATCTATCTGTGGATAATTCAGAGGACGTTTTGATTTCACCAAATGGGGTTTTCTCTGCTGGCTTTTATCCTGTTGGTGACAATGCTTATTCTTTTGCTATATGGTTCAGCAAACCAACTCGCCATAACAACTACACTGTTGTTTGGATGGCAAACCGTGATTTCCCAGTTAATGGCAAGCGCTCAAAGCTCTTGCTGTTAGAAACTGGTAATCTTATCTTAACAGATGCTGGCCAGTCTACTGCTTGGTCCTCAGATACTTCTTCCCAATCCCCGACAATGTTACGCCTCAACGATACTGGTAACCTTTTGCTTCAAAATATGGAAGGTGTTGTGATTTGGCAAAGCTTTGATTCACCTACCGATACCCTTCTTCCTTTTCAACGCATCACCAGATATCGTCCGCTTGTCTCATCAAGAAGTAGCACCAACTTTTCTACTGGTTTCTACAAACTAGTTTTCAATGAAAATAACATTCTTCGTCTCGTCTATGATGGTCCAGAGATTTCAAGTACATATTGGCCATACCAATGGCTTACAGAGGGGGAAGTAAGGTTTCAATACAACAGTAATAGAATTGCCTCATTCGATTCGCTGGGAGAGTTTACTTCTTCTGATAATTGGCATTTTGTGTCAGCAGATTATGGAGTGAAACTCCAGCGAAGATTGACACTTGATTATGATGGGAATGCTCGACTATATAGCCGAGAGGAGGACAGCGCAACTTGGGTTGTTTCATGGCAAGCCAAATCTCAAGTATGTGAGACTCATGGAATCTGCGGGCATAACAGCACATGCAGTTATGATCCGGTTTCTGGTATCAAATGTTCGTGCCTTCCAAATTATAAGATAAGGAATATTACTGATTGGACTTATGGTTGTGAACCGGAATTCAATCTTTCATGCGGTTTCTGGTTATCAAATGTTCGTGCCTTCCAAAATTATTAAGATAAGGAATATTACTGATGTTGGAACTTATGGTTGTGAACCGGAATTTCATTCTTTCATGGGGCGAATGACCCTGAGGCCATTTCATTCCAGCTTAAACATGTTGAATTTTATGGCTACATGCTAGCGCTCTATCAAAATGTCAAGCTTTGAGGCAGTGAAGGAAAAAGTTTACGAATCTGCATTTTTGCAGGGGTTCCAATATAGTACGTATGATGATCAATAAACTCCATAATTGTTACCCTAAAAAAATTGAAATTGTTTAACGGGCCATATACCCCAAGTTATTTGGACTTTTATCTTTGAAAGTTTCCAAAAGCAATGCTATTCTAGATAATCATACAGCTGTTTCAGGATTAGGGTTGAATGCTCCAATGAACTTGGAGCGCCTTTGCACAGAGCGTGATCAAAAAGCAGCGAAAGTGAGACCTTGAAATTTCGTACGTAGTTTTCACTTTTGGTTTGAAAGTTTCCAAAAGCAATCTATTCTTAGATAATCATACAGCTGTTTCAGGATTAGGGTTGAATTGCTCCAATGAACTTGGAGCGCCTTTGCACAGAGCGTATCAAAAAAGCAGCGAAAGTGAGACCTTGAAATTCGTACGTAGTTTCACTTTTGGTTTAGGGGGAATAGAGATTGTTGTCATCCTTGTTGTCTGGTGTTTCTTGATTAAGTCCAAGAAGGACTCCGATGAAGCTATACAAAGCTACCATCCTGCAGAAACTGGATTTAAAAGATTCACTTATTCTGAGCTCAAAAAGGCAACTGGAAACTTCAACAAGGAAATTGGAAGAGGAGCAGGAGGAATTGTATACAAAGGGGTGTTGTCCGACAGTCGAGTTGCAGCGATCAAACTACTTAATGTAGCTAAACAAGGAGAGGCTGAATTTTTAGCAGAAGTAAGCACGATTGGGAAGCTTAATCATATGAACTTAATAGAGATATGGGGGTATTGTGCACAAGGGAAGCACAGGCTTTTGGTGTACGAGTACATGGAGCATGGATCCTTGGCAGAAAATTTGTCTGCAAAAGCACTTGATTGGCAAAAGCGGTTTGAAATCGCCTTAGGCACTGCAAGAGGACTTGCTTATTTACATGAAGAGTGCTTAGAGTGGGTTTTACATTGTGATGTAAAGCCTCAAAATATACTCCTGGACTCAAACTACCAGCCAAAGGTATCTGATTTTGGCTTATCCAAGCTATTAAGCAGAGGCAAGCACGAAAGCTTCTCAAAGATAAGAGGAACTAGAGGTTACATGGCTCCTGAGTGGGTTTCAAATTTGCCAATCACATCCAAAGTGGACGTGTACAGTTATGGGATTGTTGTGTTGGAGATGATTACTGGAAAGAATCCAGCAACATTAGCAAGTCATAGCACAGAAACGTGTGGAGAGATAGAGCACAAAAGATTAGTGACAATTGTGAGAGACAAGAAAATTAAAGTTAATGGAATGGCCTCATGGATTGAAGAGATTGTGGATCCCACGTTGGAAAGAAAATATGATCAAGAAAAGATAGAAACCCTTGTAACATTGGCCCTGCAATGTGTGGAGGAAGACAGAGATGCTAGACCTACTATAAGCAAAGTCGTTGAAATGCTTCTACACCTAGAAAATCATTAGGCTAATCACTAGTCACCATTCACCATCCTTATTGTCTCCAGGTTAATATTCTTATTCGGCACTTGAGGTTTTTCTTTTTCTTTTTCTTTTTTTTTTTTATCCAATACTCTTTCTTTAAATAAAGTACAGGTAGCGTTATCCGCTCTCACAGTAGTTCTTGGATGGGAGGATGCAGCTAATGGTAGCAGGTGCTCTACATTGATGGCAGAATTTATCTTTTTTTAGGTCTGAAGCTAGCTCGGGAGAAGAAGTTAATAAACAAGGGTCAGTTGATAAACTGAACCTGGTAGAACTGATAACTAAAGAAACTAGTGGTGATAATTCTGTTTTTACCATGGTGAATAAAATCAAGTTGGTGAATAGGAATTGGCAAGTGTGTATTTCCCAGAGGGGGTAATTCTTGGCGGTTCTCTTCTCTTAGGCATCTATTTCGTCGAATTTCTACCCTAGATTGTTTGTAATGTAATTTATTTTCATTCCCTTGTAGTCCAAAATATAGTAGGCATAATAATAAAGTAAAAATATTTCAATTTCATCAAAATCATTATTGTTGTAATATATTTTTAGATAAAATTTGTAAACTTCATGTCTGTACGAGTCAATCCATACATCAAACCAACCAATCAATAATTGCCACTCAAAATAATCGTCAATAAAAAAAATTATCATAATTTTCAGCTCCTTGAAAATAATCATTATTAGGCTAATCACTATATTGTACATTCATTATTTTCGCAAATAATTATATTTTATTAAGGCTCCCTTGCTATTGTAAAAAGAAAAAAAAAATTCAGTTTCATTTAAATCATAATATTTTTCCTTAAAATTGAATTTTTTTAAAATAATAATTTTTAACTCGGTGAAAAAAATATTATACCTAATAACAATTAATAAATATATAAAAAATTAAGATATTTTTGAAAGAAAAAAAATTTAATGTGCCAGATAAAAAAGAAAAAAGAGTACAAATTTGACTAAAAAATTAAAAAGAAGAAGAAGATCAAATATATAGGAGCAGAACATAATCCTGCTTGTTGTTTCAACTCATCAACAACGATATAACGATACAACTCACCTGCTTGTTGGTCTTTTTGCCGCGGGGTCCAAATTACAATTCTGGAGAGGCCCGAAATCGGATCGTTCCCTTTGAAATTCCAATATAACAGGCGATACGAGCCCATTTCCCAAAAGAATCGTTCATCGAGACGATGTTACTCCTCTCCAATTCCTCGTAGTTGTACTTGTGGCTAACAAGTTCAAAACTTTTGTCAACTTGTTCAGATGTTGAATCTTTGATAAGCCTTGATGGTATTCCAGTAGGCAGAGATTGGTGACCGGAAGCAAGAAGTAGCTGCAGCAGCTGCGATTGAGGTATGGGTTAGGTCTCATGTGGAAAAGGAGCTTGAAAGATGAGTAAATGGAATGGGCAAACGGCTCCAAAACGGAGGACGTTGACTCCGGTCACTGAAACAGGTGATAGTTTGTTTTTTTCTTTTTTCCGTTTGAAATGCCTGTTGATTATTAATGTACAGCGCAAACTTTTCCCTCGATTGTGGACAACAGGGGATCTTTTCCTTGTCGTCTGCCAATACGACGGAAATTTTTTCCTCCTGAATCATTTAATCCTAGGTTTCTGAACGGTCTCGTTCACTTGAGCATCTTCACTTTATATTTCTGAGTTCTTACCATATTTTCATCAATTTATCTGAAATTTATGTCCTAAACACTAAATCCAACTAAAGGCAAAAATTTATGTTATCTTTTGTTTCTATAAATGATGGGTTGGTCAGGATTTGATTGGAAAACATGAAGTTGGATTAAAAATAGTTGGCTTGTTGCTACACGAGTCTACTTGTGCAGAGCTTTGAACTCTTTTTCGAGGAAAGGATGAATGTACGTAGACTGGCTCTGCATTTATTATGATATTTACATTTTGGTGATCTGGTGAGTCTCTTTGCGTTTAGTTGGTAATGGTCCAAATAGCAAAATATAATTGCCTCTCTGATTTTTGAGTATGCAATCTTTTACATTGTAGATTTTTATGGGTATATAATCTGTCTTGTAAATTTTTTGCCTGTTTTTCATGACCGTTCATTTACATTATTCAACCTACAATCGAGCAGGCTTTTGGTTCTAGTTCTAGACCTTCAACCCTTAATGCCTATTTTATGCCTGTTGCATCTTGGATTTGGTAGCGTGGGTGTGTGTAGTTTCTTCATAATCATCAACACTAATGGGCGAGTATTAAAAATCATTTTTAAAGAGTCAGCCATGTCAACCTGCCCGCTAAAAACCTGTATCTGGATGGAGTTTGCAATTTAGTTGCCAGAGCAATTGTTAGCCTATGCAAATAGTGAGGAGGATACTCTGATGGAGTTGCAACAAAATAGTCAACTTTCCCTAGTATGAGCCTGGACTCTGACCATGAATAATTCTTTTGGTGGATCTTCATTTACACTTGGTAGTATCTATATCTTAATCTGAATTAGTACATATAGTTAAAGATTTACTCAGGACAATGACTGTTCGAGCAAGCAAATGATAGTATTTAAAATCATTTTGGACTCTGATGAAGACATCCATCATACTCAAAGGGGAGGAAGGGTGCAAGAATAAATAAAAACAGGAAAACGGCAACGCCCATGGGAACAATGTTTTGAGGTTGTTATGTCATTTTGTCTGGTTTCGGTTCTAAGCTGGTTATGATGGGTTATTAGGTCCAAAATTTTCTCAAGAATCCATCATTTCTCATGTTATTTGCACCAACAGCTTTGAAATCCATTGGAAGAATTTCTAAAGATTCTTCAACCAAAGGAGATAACTTTATTCACCTTCTTATAGTCCATTTTAAACTAACAGTATGGTTATGCTGCTCATGTAATCCTTCTTATATTATGATTTTTTATTTATTGTAAATATGCTTTAAGAATATTATTATATTGATGTATTGCATCTTTATGCAGGTCTCAATGGAAGAATCAGAGTGGTTTCCTCTCTACTTATCATTTACTAGAAGATAGTGAAGCAAAACACCCAGCAGAAAAGAGGATTATGTTGAGGTGTAAGGGCAGGAGATACAAATGATATATCATTGCATTAGGTACATCTCTTCTAACAATTTCAATGGAATTCAACATATCTGTCAGGCACTTTAAACCTTTTGATGAATCACATGTTAAGAAATGAGAATCCAATACCTTTGACAAATCACCCATTAAGAAACGAGAATCCAATAGTTGGTGCTTGATGCTATGCAATCTTTAGGAGAGGGACATACCTTTATATCAGAAGAAAACCTACAATAGGGATTCTAAGAAGAGACTAGAATGGCTAAGACTGTCAAGAAGTGGTTATGTTGTCTTCTTTGGTTTCTCTTTGTCCTTAAAGATTGGCCTTCTGGATTAAGCTTCAGGGATAGTTCTTTCCACTAGGGACACTGTTCAATTAATGCGTTAAATGTCTGCCTGTGATTAATTTAAGTTATTGTTTCCCTTTAGTTATTTCCAGATTTTGGGTGATCATAATCTGTATTTCGCCAATTTCATGTCCGAAGTTGCATAGAACACAAGGGCAACTGTATTTATTTATCAGTCATCAAGAAGAAAGATAAATTTCAGTCGCTCTTCTTTCAATCACAAAATGGTGCTAGGTTTTGTCAATGACATTGTTTCTAGGTTAATATGTTGAATACATTTAACCATAGGATTTGAGTCAATTAATCCAAAGCTCGTCTCTCTTTCTATAGACATTCCAAAGGATGTTTTCCATATGTTTGGAAAATTCAAGTTCACAGAATTTTTGTGGAATTTGTTTGCAATTCCATAGTTCTCTGTTTAAAACCATTGAAATTCTAAGTGAATTTCATAGAACTAAAGTAACCTCATTTCCATTTTCTTTTAGAACCTCTTTCAGAATTAACAATAATACTCTCTTTCTCTATATGTCTCTCTCTTATAAATATTATTTTAGAGAATACAAATTATATTACGTTAAATGTGAAATTTAATTATAAATAAATGGAATATATATAGAAATGAAATAAATTTCTTGGTATTGACCAGGCATCTGAATTCTCATGTTAATGAGTTCTTATATCTGCTTTTCTAATCCATCTATGGGTAAGAATTTTCGTAGACAGCACACCAATTAGCAAAATTTCTTTGTAAGCTTTGCGGCTGAACCGGAGAAGGAAATCAGAAGAACCTTCTCTGTTCATACTCTCTTAATTCACAGTAGCGGGAATGAGTCTAATAATTAGGATTAAATTGATGGAGGAGAACAAAGAAAGTGCAAGTTGCTAGCCATCAGAGAATTTTCCTGTTTGACATGGTTTTGCTCAAGAAATTCCTCGTCCGCAATCTCTTTATGGTCATGGGCGTCGGTAGTTAATTATAATTTTTGAATTTGCAGTATTTAATTTTATATTCTCCGAATCATTATCAAAGATGGTCTTTTATGTTTCCTTTGCATGAATTATATCAATTAATCTATTCACTTTTTTTTGCTAATTACATATTTAATTCCAGCAAACAGACTCTTAAAACAAATTTATACACTAGTAAAATTTTCAGTGAGTAATAACGACACCAGTATTTTTGTTTTGGACTGTGCTATTACCTAATCAGTCTCATTACGGTAAATAATTAAATATTTGTACATAATTAATATATTAAGACAAGGTTTGACTGTTGTTTTTATTTTTGGTAATTATAATTTTTTTTTTTTTTTGAAAGAAAAAATTTGTGGGAACCATATGCAGCATTTTCATATTGGTAATAATAATATAATGATATGTTGAATTTGTTTGAAAAATAAATGACTGTATCGGATAATAATTATTGGATAATGATGAATTAGTGGCAGTTATACAGTTTACTGCGTCGGCGTGTTTTTCAAAGGAAAAAAGTAAGGGACAAAAATACTTTATAATCGGACTTTTTTAGTGGCTATTCCAGTACTGGTTGGTCAGTACATAACACGAGCGATTCGTTTTCCTTTTATCCATATAAAAGCAGTCAAGCACCCATTTTGGAACTTGATGTCAACTAAATATTTTTTTATTACTAATTATAATGTCCTCAAAACTGTAACGCTCCTACCCTAGTTAGGAAGTTTCGCCGCAGTTTTATCATCCATCTCCTTTCACATGGCTCAGCCCCAGCAGCTACTTTAAGCTTTTAAGTTGGCAAAGGCCAAGCTTCCTCTGGATAAACTTTCATGAAGTTCAATATGGATCAGAATATATGTATTTTTTTGCTGGTCTTGTTTCTTATTATATCACCTCTTTTATCATCTTCAATATCTTATTCTGCTTTAAGCGTAGGCTCATCTCTGTCCGTGGAGAATCCAGAGGACGTTCTGATTTCACCTACCGGAGTTTTCTCTGCAGGCTTTCATCGCGTCGGCGACAATGCTTATTGTTTTGCTATATGGTTTAGCAAACCATCTTGCAGTAACAACTGCACTGTTGTTTGGATGGCAAACCGTGATTTCTCAGTTAATGGCAAACGCTCGAAGTTATCGTTGCTAGAAACGGGAGATCTTATATTAAGCGATGCCGGTCAATCAATCGCTTGGTCAACTGACACCTTTTCGCTTTCCTCAACGGAGTTACGTCTGTATGACAATGGCAATCTTGTTCTACAAAATACAGAGGGTGTTTTATGGCAAAGCTTTGACTCACCTACAGATACTCTTCTTCCTTCACAACCACTCACCAGGAATACGCAGCTTGTCTCGTCGAGAAGCCGAGCAAACTTTTCTTCCGGTTACTACAAGATGATTTTTGATAGCTATAAGATTTTAATTCTACTCTATGATGGTCCAAAGCTTTCCTCTGTTTACTGGCCATATGCCTGGCTCCGGAGTTTCGAAGGCGGAAGGGTCAGATCCAACAACAGTAGAACTGCCTCGTTTGATTCTTTAGGCAGATTTACTTCATCTGACAATTTCAGTTTTATATCAGCAGATTATGGAGTACGAATCCAGCGCAGATTGACAGTTGATTATGATGGAAATGCTCGCTTGTATAGCCGAAAGGAGGATAGCCCAACTTGGGTTGTCTCCTGGCAGGCCAAATCTCAATTATGTGAGATTCATGGAATCTGTGGACAAAACAGTACATGTAGCTATGATCCAGTTTCTGGTAACAAATGTTCTTGCCTTCCAGGATATAAGAGAAGAAATACTGCTGACTGGTCTGATGGTTGTGAACCGGAATACAATCTCTCCTGCGATAATGAAACGGCTGGTTTCATGAAGCTCAGACATGTCGAAATTTATCACAATGATCTTGGTTCTTTTCCCAACGTGAGTTTGGAGATGTGCAAGAAAATATGTTTGCAATCTTGCAATTGCAAAGGGTTTCAGTACAGACATATTGAGAACAGTATCACTCCAAGTTGTTACCCAAAGTCGATAATGGCAAATGGACAACGCACACCAAGTTTCAGTGGTGACTTCTATGTGAAAGTTCCTAAATCAAGCCTATTCTCCAATATGGAAGTAGTTTCAGGAATATCCGATTTTAAGCTAAATTGCTCCATTGAACCTGTCAAGCCTTTAAATAGAGTTTATTCAGAAGAGAGAGAAAATGGGACCTTGAAATTCATGCTTTGGTTTGCCTGTGGGTTAGGGGGAATCGAGATTATTGGCATCTTTCTTGTTACGTGTTTCTTGATGAAGTCACAGAAGGACTCCAATAAAGCTACGCAAAACTATCATTCCATAGCAGCTGGATTTAAGAGATTCACTTATTCTGAGCTTAAAAGGGCAACAAGAAACTTCAGTGAGGAAATTGGAAGGGGAGGAGGAGGAGTTGTGTATAAAGGGACACTATGGAATGGTCAAGTGGCCGCAATCAAACGACTTGATATAACTAACCAAGGAGAAGCAGAGTTCCTAGCAGAAGTCAGTATTATTGGAAGACTTAACCACATGAACTTGATTGGGATGTGGGGCTATTGTGTAGAAGGGAAACACAGGCTTTTGGTTTACGATTATATGGAAAATGGTTCCTTGGCAAAAAATCTCTCCTTGAAAGCACTTGATTGGAAGAAACGATTTGATATAGCACTAGGCACTGCAAGAGGGCTGGCTTATTTACATGATGAGTGCTGCGAGTGGATTTTACACTGTGATGTAAAGCCTCACAATATACTCCTAGACTCTAATTACCAGCCAAAAGTAGCAGATTTTGGCTTATCCAAGCTACAAGACAGAGGCGAGGTTGTAAATCATTCAAATTTCTCAAAAATAAGAGGAACCAGAGGTTACATGGCTCCTGAGTGGGTTATTAACCTGCCAATCACATCCAAAGTGGATGTGTATAGTTATGGGATTGTTGTCTTGGAGCTGGTAACTGGAAAGAGTCCGGTCATGGAAGTTAGTGGACAAATAGATAATAAAAGGTTGGTAGCATCGGTGAGGGAGAAGAAAAACAGAGCCGATGGAAAGGCGTCGTGGTTTGAAGAGATCATAGATCCTTTGTTGAAGGGAGAATATGATGAAGTTAAGATGGAAATTCTGGTTCAAGTAGCATTGCAATGTGTAGAGGAAGACAGAGATGCGAGGCCCACTATGAGCAGAGTCGTTGAGATGCTTTTGCGACTTGAAAATGATTATTAGCCATATATATATATATATATCAAAACAAAGTGTTCAATTGTGTTATATTCCTTTCCATGAATTACAATTTGTTTGATATGAAAGAGAATGCATACATCAAACAAAAATCTTAGGGCTTGTTTGTTATACCTGTTTGTTTTTAGTTTTTTATTTATTAAAAACATGAAGTAATTTTTAGTTTTTGGTTATTTATTTTTTTAAACTTATTTCTTTTTCTAAATTTTATTTTTCTTTTCTTTTGGTTCATGATATGAAAAATTCTTCCAATTATCGAATTTCTCTCGCATTAAACCATAAAGATTTTAGTTAATAATAAAAATTTTAAAAATCAAAATTTGAGACAAATTATATAAAATTATTTCACACTTTAATTTTTAAATTTTAAAGTTACATTAACTATTGATTATTATATATAATTAATTGAATAAAAATATAATATCCAAGATGGCCCACAATTTCTTGTGATTTCTACAAAATCCAACAGAGGGTGCTAGTTTTGGCTGAGGACTGAACTAGCTTTAGGAGCTCCTCACACTACTATGATACTACTTACTTCCTTCCACAACCCACCTCCACCAGAAGGGAATAATTATACTAGCAGCTTTGTTCCCTTCCTCCCGAATCGGAACAATGGTACTGAGAAGTCCTAAAACCTTTTCTTTCCCGGTACTACCAGATAACGATGAAGTTGTTTGATCATGCTAGCTATAAGATTTCCTCTTATATTGTCTACGTGCATGTCTCTTGACTCGATTTACACAAAAGCTTTTCACTCTGTTTACATGTTTCCGAAATTTATGACACTAAGAGTACAATCCGTAATTCTCTCGCAGGAACGCGACAAATACCCAAGGAACTCGAGAGGTGTACTAGGATCCAAATTACCTTAGCATCAGTAGAAGCTCTGATTTCGCTCGTTATGCTTCTCTTAGGACAGATTTACTGATCATTCTGCATCAATTTTCATCTCGTTTACCTCACTTAGGTGACATAAGGCTCCAGAGGTCATCCAAGATTAGCCTTAGAAACAAAGTACGCTATGACGGATTCATCTCCCAGCGCTAGACCTTAGTACAGATTTGATAATAATAGAACTGAAATAAAACCTCGGCATATTAGTATACGGTTACTCCGTATATCGGAGGAATCAGCCACATTACATATAGGTTGTTGTCTGTTAAACACCCTGCGCAGGACGCTTAAAGAATACTCAAAAATAGATTTTGGCAGATTCATGGTATAGTCCTTTAGTTGGAAACAAAACAAGCCAGATGTTCTTTAACATGTAGCTTGAATGATCCAAAGCTTGTGTTTGGATAGGAACAGAGCATGTTGCTTGCAGCTTCTATGTTGAGTATAAGAGAAGACAATACTGCTGACTGGTCGTAGATTGGTTGTGAACCGAAGGACCAATGATCTCTCCTGCGAATACATGAAAAGGCGGTCTGCTGGCTCTATGCAATATGAAAAGTTCTCAGAGAGCAAATGTCCCCTCGATACACGTTTTGATTTCCAGCGAATGACTGTGTCATTAGGATCTCATTTATCCACAATTACCGTTGCTTGAATGTTCTAGGAGATGTGCAAGAATTAACATAGCGATGCATAATCTGCAAAAATCTGAGTAGGCATTGCAGAAAGGGTTTCAGTACAGGGGGAAGTAATGTAATTGATGCAGTAGGGCTCGCCACTACCAAAACTTTAGGTTACCGAGACAGTCGAATAATTGACAACATGGACGAGGCACGTCCAAGCTACCAAGTATATCAGTGGTGGACTATTCTATTTGTCAAAGAGTTTTTCTCTAGAATATCAAGACGCTATTCGATCTACCGTGAATGGCAAGTTAGTTTCAGTAATATTCTCGATTTCTCTTAATAGTGCTGAAATTGCATCCATTTGTAACCGGTGGTCACGCCTCACTGAAGATATTGGAGTTTATTCGCATACACAAAAACGCAGAAAGAGAATTGAGCCACTTTTGGAGCATAAAATTCACTGCTGTTGGGTTGTCACGATGACCGGTGATCAGGGTCTAGTTGGAAACCTCTGAATGGCATTAAATTAAGCAATCGTTTCTTAGTAGTAGCGCTAGTGTTCTTGATGATTCACTCAAGATAGTTGAGCCTCCCACAATGAGATTAGAACTACCAACAAACAACAAGCTAATTCATTCCTCCGCATTTAGCAGCTTTGAGAATTTAAGAGATTCACAATGAACGTATTCTCCTGATGCTCTAACCCACACAGAGGCAAAAGAGAGAACTTCAGGTGACGCGTTACGACAATGTGGGATAGGTTGTTAGGAGGAGGGAAGTTTGTCGTGGTCATGTGAAGAAATTAGAAAGGAGACACATTGATGTGGGTAGATAAGACTAGGTCAAAGTAGGGCAGAGCAAGCTCAAAGCGAAAAACAAGGTGGAGTAAAGCACCTATACAAAGGAAGAGCCAGACCAAGAAGTTACCTAGAGGCAAAGAAGAGTGATCAAAAAGGCAAATTTTATAAGAAGAAACAGACATGTCGACAATCAAAACACATGAAATGGTCGTTGGATTGGGCAATTGAGGTGGCTGAATTGAGTGATAACGAAGCGCAAAAACACAGGCTTTGTTTACATTTTTATATTGGTTATTTAATTGGTTCTCTTGGCTCAAAAAATCTCTACCTTGAAATGACACTTTGTAATATGTGATAAGAACATTCTCTGGCGATTGATAATATAAGCACTAGGGCATCTGCTAATACAGCATGGGATGAGGAAGCTTCTATCTACATCATGAAGTGCCTGCGAGATGGATCTATTATACAGGCTTCGTGAGTCTGATAAGAAGCCTCACATTAATTATTAGTACTCCATAGAAAGCTTCTTTAACAAGATTATTAGCCATAAAGATTAAGCAGCCATTTTTGGCTCTATCCATAATATCGCTACAAAAGACAAGATTGGCGAGCGTCTGGATAAATTATAACATTCATATTTTTTCTCTAACTATACATTTTATTTAGAGGTAAACCTAGAGAGTTACATGGTCCTGAGTGGTTAACCTTGAATTTTTCCCGATATATGCCATATTTTTAACTAATTTCCAAATTTGTGAAAAATTGTTAAAATAATCTCTGGAATTGATACTGGTACTTGGAGCTGGTATTCTGGGTATTTAATGAAAGGTGTTACCTTAGATTCATGTGGATGTTTGTGGACAGTAAGTCTAATATATTTATAAATGGATTGGTAGAGCAATTCGGTGTAGGGAGAAGAAAAAACAGAGCGAATGACAAAATGGACGTCTGTGGTTTTTTGTTAAGAGATATATAGATCCTTATATATTTAAATGAAGAATATGTTGAAAAGTTTAAAGAAAATTGTTGTAAAATAGAACCTTCTGGCGCTATCAAGTAGCTTTTGCAATGTGTAGAGGAAAGACAGATGATGGTGCGTAGTTAACAATAATATTTGTGTTTAACTTAATACATTCTCATTCCTACTTTAATGTTATAAAGAAACAGAGATCGTTTGAGTATTGCTTTTTGCATTGCCATTCTATGAATAATATAGATTATATAGCCAATGTATTATTATATATATATTATTACACAATTAACAAAGTGTTCCAATTTAGTGTTTTATATATATTTTTCCATTCCTGATATTTACCATTTTGTTTGATATGAAAAGAGAATGCATAACATCAAATCAAAAATTCTTTATGTCTTGTTTGATATACTTTACATACTGGTTTTCTGTTCTTTTTAGTATTTTCTTATCATTTATATATTTATTATCGAAATTAACGATAGATTTATGATAATATGTTTAGGTATTTTAGTTATTATTTAATTTTAAGAATTTAAATTTTACTTTATTTCTATAATATATTTTATTCTTTCTTTTCTTTTCTTTGGTATCTTAATGCATGATGCAAATAAATTTTCTCAATTATTCCCTTAATTTCCTCTCGCATTTTAAAACCATATAATTTTCTAAAGATTTTTAAGTTAATATATATAGTACAATTTTAACAAATCAATTGACTTATTTGTATGATCAAAAATTTATATTAAATATTATTCTATCTTACCAACTTTAAATTTTTTTATAAATTTTTAAAAGTACATTAAACTTTATGAATTATTTATAATATACAAATTATTTCACACTTTAATTTTTAAATTTTAAAGTTACATTAACTATTGATTATTATATATAATTAATTGAATAAAAATATAATATCCAAGTATTATAATAAGTAAATAATATTAAATGACATTAGATTTAAATAGATAGAGAAAATAATAAGAAATATAAAAATAATAAAAAGAGAAGAGATAGAGAACAAAATAGAGATAAAATTATCTACTTTAATACTTTAGATAAATGAACGAAATTATATTTATGTAGATAGAGAACATAATAATAATAATAATAATAATAATAATAATAATAATAATAATAATAACTTTATGAGGATAAATTTTTTTATAAATAAAAAATGAGAAATGTATAATTAAAAACACAAACATAATTATGTAAACCACTACGTGGGGTTACATAAAATTTATTTTTTATTTTAAAAATAGTTTTCTAAAAAGTAAAAAGAATTAAATAAATATAAACAAATAAGTTTTGTTTATTTAAAAAAAATTAAAAATTTAATCGAAAACAATAGGTACCTTAATTTAAAAAAAAAAAGAAGTAAAAAAAAATAAGTCCGTGACTTGTAGGATAATGGATGGATTTACTAGACTTGTAAAACCTTTAACATAAATTCATGGAGCCCACCATTACGTTTGATCGTGGGAATCCTGTAGTGTATTACTGTATTAGACCAAAAGATATTTAAGTCAATGCCAAAAAAAAAAAAAAAAAAAAAAAAAAAATCATGGCTGTTGTATCCACTACCTAAAAAAAAAAAAAAAAAAAATCTATTGGCTGTTGTATCCACTACCACCATTCATTTTAGTCGTCTGTGTTTGTTAAATGCTTTTGATCCTTTGCTCCTCTATTGTGGCTTTGATAATGGCTTCCCTTTTTTCCTTGCTTCTCCTGTTTCTGACTATATCACCACCATTTTCATTTTCATCAGCATCTCTAAACACTTTGCGTAAAGGCTCTTCCCTTTCTGTGGAGGACAAGGACTCGTTCTTGATTTCACCAGACGGAACATTTTCTGCTGGCTTTTACCCCGTGGGCAAAAATGCTTTCTGCTTTGCCATATGGTTCAATGACCCTTCGTGCACCGGTTATGGCAACTGCACTCTGGTTTGGATGGCCAATCGTGACGTACCAGTCAATGGAAAACGCTCCGAGTTCTCTCTACTAAAAACTGGTAATCTTGTCCTTACTGACGCTGGTCGATCGCCCCCTGTTTGGGCCACTGATACTACTTCGCTCTCTTTATTGTCGCTGAACCTTCAAGACAATGGTAATCTTGTTCTAAACGACACGGAGGGTGCTATTATTTGGCAGAGCTTTGACACCCCAACAGACACTCTGCTTCCTTTACAATTGTTCACTAAAGAAACTCGGCTTGTTTCATCCAGAAGCAGAAGCAATTTTTCTACTGGGTTTTACAAGTTCTATTTCGACAACGATAACGTTATTCGTCTTCTTTATGATGGTCCTGAGATCTCAAGCGTTTTTTGGCCTGACCCTGGAGCTTTGCCATGGGAAGAGAATAGATCTACGTACAATAGCAGCAGAATTGCCATACTCGATTCCTTGGGTTATTTTGCTGCTACGGATAATTTTACTTTTCATTCTGCTGATTATGGGCAGAGACTCCAGAGAAGACTAACGCTTGATTACGATGGTAATCTTCGATTATACAGTCGAGGAGAGGGAAACAGTAATTCTTGGGTTGTATCATGGGAGCTCAGTTCTCAGCCATGCACTGTTCATGGAGTTTGTGGACCCAATAGTGTTTGTTCCTATAGTCGGATCTCTGGTAAAATGTGTTCTTGCATTCCAGGATTTAAGATGGTCGACTACACAGACTGGTCTCGAGGTTGTGAACCGGAATTTAATATTTCATGTTCCACTACAGAGTCCACCTTCCTTAAACTCCGTCACGTAGAGTTTTATGGATATGATTTTGGTTTCTATCCTAATACCACCTTTGATGACTGTAAGAATAAATGCTTACAGAGATGCGATTGCAAAGGCTTTCAATTTAAATTTGTCAAGCATGACCATCCTAGCGATCTTCCTTACTGTTTCGCCAAGACTCTTTTGCTAAATGGGCAGCGACAGTCCAGTTTTGAAGGAGATCTATATTTGAAAGTGCCTGTGACCAGTAACTACTCTGACCATAGCTGGCCAACTGTGAGTGAATTGTTGCATACTTGCCCTCATAACGTTATCAGGCAACTAGAGAGAAAATATGTAGTAGATCATGGAGTTTGGCGAGTTCAATTCTTGCTTTGGTTTGCAATTGGAGTTGGAGTGTTTGAAATCTTTGGTATAATTTTTGTGTTGCTTTTCGTTGTAAGAAACCAACAGAACCGAGGTGCTACCACACAAGGTTACCTCCAGGCTGCGACTGGTTTCAAAAGGTTCACCTATACAGAGCTGAAGAAAGCAACGCGAAATTTCAAAGAAGAAATTGGAAGAGGAGCAGGAGGAATTGTGTATAGAGGGAAATTATCAGATGATCGAATTGCAGCAATTAAGCTACTCAGCGAAGCTCACCAAGGAGAAGCTGAATTTCTTGCAGAAGTAAGCACCATTGGAAAGCTTAACCACATGAACTTAATAGACATGTGGGGATACTGCGCAGATCAGAAGCACCGGCTTTTGGTTTATGAGTATATGGAACGTGGATCTTTAGCAGAAAATCTCTCTTGCAAAGAACTTGATTGGAAAAGGAGATTTGAAATTGCTTTAGGCACAGCTAAAGGCCTCGCTTATTTGCATGAAGAATGTTTAGAGTGGATTTTACACTGCGATGTAAAACCACAGAACATCCTTTTAGACTCTAGGTACCAGCCAAAGGTATCAGATTTCGGTCTGTCTCGGCTTGTAAGTAGAGATAATGAAAGTAATGGTGGGAATTCAGGATTCTCAAAATTGAGAGGAACAAGAGGTTACATGGCCCCTGAATGGATTTTCAATCAACCTATTACCTCTAAAGTGGATGTCTATAGCTATGGAACTGTTGTGCTGGAGATGGTAACAGGAAAGAGCCCGGCAATGGATGTCCAGGAAGTTGATAGTACGACTTATAATGTGGAGCAGAAAAGGTTAGTTGCATGGGTGAGAGAGAAAAAATCCGGAGCTGGTGAAAAGGAGTCTTGGGTTAAAGAAATAATAGATCCTATAATGGGAAATGACTATGACATAAATAGATTAGAAATTCTGGCAGAAGTGGCTTTGCAGTGCGTGGAAGAAGACAAAGATGCAAGACCCACCATGGGCCAAGTTTTGGAGCTGATTTTGCGGGATTATGAAAAAAATTCTTAAATTAGCTGCAATGGCCTTGTTATTTTTAATTATGCTCTTTGTTTTAGCTTAGTTTGCCTTTCTCTGCCAGCGGGAAAATAAATAAGTGTTGTACATTTATCACAGTGTTAATAAATTACTAGGTTCCTGTAATGAAGCTAAACCTATCTTGTCAAAATCAATCAATTTACATAGAACATATAGCCAAAGTAACTTTATGAACATAAACCAGTAACTTTTACAAAAGAAAAACAATCTCTTTTACAAAATATTCAAAGTATTATAAAATGTTGACAACCTAAGCAATTATTTTGTAAATCATAAACATTTACAAAAAAAAAAAAAAATTTACAAAAAAAATAAAAAAAAGTATTAATAAACATATAAATTAAAGTTATTATTTTAGATAATAATGAACCTTAATAAAAAGATCACTTGTACATATTTCATTAAACGAATTTAAAAAAAAAAAAAAAAAAAATAATATTTTATAAAATATAAATTAAGTTATTATTTTATAATATGACAACCTTATAAAAAATCACTTTGTACATATTATTACGATTTATAAAAAATATATATTGATAACTGAAATTATTATTTTGTAATTTGATAGCTTTACAAAAGAAAACAATAATTTCTTACAAAACATTGATAAATACCTCTATGACTTTCCCTCGACACCAACTGATAATCACACTTTCTATTATTTCTTTTGAGAGGAGTAATAAAATTTTACTGCAGCAGAATCATGATAAAAAGTGAGAAAATTTTCTACCCATTATAAAATTCTCTCTCGACAGAAGAATGCCCAACTAAAATTCCAAGCGTCCATCTATGGGTACTCCTTACTTTACCTTGATTTTTGCATCGGTTATACTGCTATCAACTCCATTTTCTTGTTGCATTCCACGTTCTACTCTAAACAAAGGTTCCTCCCTCTCCGTCGACAATCCGAACGACGTTTTGGTTTCACCAAATGGCAAATTCTCCGCTGGATTTTACTGTGTTGGTACCAACGCTTACTACTTTGCCATTTGGTTTAATGAGCCATCTTGCAGTACAAATTGCACCGTAATTTGGTCGGCCAACCGTGATTTTCCTGTCAATGGAAAACGCTCAAAACTCTCCCTCTTAAACACCGGTAATCTTACCTTAACCGACGCCGGTCAGATCGGTGTTTGGGCCACTAATACCATTTCAGTTATAACCTCCTTGCAAGTAAGCCTGAATAATTCAGGTAATCTTGTTCTTCACGACAATAATGGTGTCTTACTATGGCAAAGCTTTGCTTCACCAACAGATACCCTTCTTCCTCACCAACCACTCACTAGAAACACACAGCTTATTTCCTCGGCAAGCCAAACCAAATTTTCTTCTGGTTTTTACAAGCTTTTCTTTGACTATGATAACGTTCTTCGACTCGCCTTTGAAGGCCCAGAGACATCAAGCATTTACTGGCCGGACCCAACTGTTCTAGATTATCAAGCTGGTAGGTCGAGATACAACGACACCAGAATCGCAGTATTTGACACTAAGGGCCATTTCAAGTCATCTGATCGTGTAGAGTTCTGGTCAGCTGATTTTGGCGCTGGACCTCAAAGAAGATTGACTCTGGATTTCGATGGTAATCTTAGATTATACAGTTTTGAAGAGGAAAAAGGAAATTGGTTAGTTACATGGAAGCTCTGCCTCAACCGTGTACGATTCATGGAGCTTGTGGGCCAAATAGTATATGCCTTTATAGACCAGAATTTGGCAGGAAGTGTTCTTGCCCGCCAAGTTATAAAATTAAGAATAAGAGTGACTTGGCTAATGGATGCGAACCAGAGTTCAAACTTTCATGCAATCACAGCGAGTTTAGCTTTGTTGAAATCCTTGGTACTGAATTTTACGGCTACGACTTCCACATCATAAAAAATTCCTCTCTGGAGATGTGTAAGAAGGCTTGCTTAGAATTGTGCGATTGCAAAGGCTTTCAGTACCAACCCATTGCGAAAAATAGGGTTTATAACTGTTATCCAAAGAAGGAACTGCGTAATGGACACCGATCCCCAAATTATAATGGAACTATTTTTTTGAAATTTGCAAATTCTGAAATATCCTTTCTCAAGGATTCATTGGTAGAATTACATTTGAATTGCTCCTATCAGCCTATTCTGCAATTGAACATATGATATCACAAGAATGGCTGCAATGGTTCATTGGAGATTTTGCTTTGGTGTGCTTGTGTGATTGGATTCGGGGAGTTATGTACCTTTTTTCTGGTGTTCATTTATTTAGATAGAAATCGACACGATTCAGACCCTTTTGCTCAAGGCTACCTTTCTAGTGCAACTGGATTCAAGAAGTTTACATATGCCGAATTAAAGAAGGCGACAAAGAATTTCAGCCAAGAAATAGGAAGAGGAGGAGCAAGTACTGTTTACAAGGGAATTTTATCTGATAAAAGAATTATAGCAGTTAAGCGAGTCATTGAAGCGAATCAAGGAGAAGAGGAATTTCAAACAGAAATAAGCATAATTGGAAGGCTTAATCATATGCACTTAAGTGATATGTTGGGATTTTGCGCAGAAGGAAAGAATAGGCTTTTGGTGTATGAATACATGGAGAATGGATCATTGCCTCATTGGCAGATGCTCTTTTTTCTAAGTCCCTTGATTGGGACAAAATGCTTGGTATTGCTTTAGGCACTGCAAAAGGCCTGGCATATTTGCATGAAGAATGCTTGGAATGGGTTCTTCATTGTGATGTGAAACCTCAAAACATATTATTAGATTCTAATTACAGGCCAAAAGTGTCAGATTTTGGTCTATCAAAGATACTGAACAGAGCGGGAACCAGCAATTCAAGCTTCTCAAGAATTAGAGGAATCAGAGGTTACATGGCTCCTGAGTGGGTTTACAATCTCCCAATTACTTCTAAAGTGGATGTTTATAGCTATGGAATTGTCGTGCTGGAGATGGTGACAGGGAGAAGAATTGCTGCAATGTATGAAAACGGTGATGATGGAAGCAGAGGAGAAGCAAAGGATAAAAGATTAGTGGGATGGGTTAGAGACGTGAAGAATGGAGGTGATGGAACAGTGTCTCCTTCTTGGGTGAAAGAAATAACAGACCCTGTTCTTGGATATGAATATGATATTAATAAGATGGAAAGTCTAGTTGCAGTAGCACTGCAATGTGTGGAGGAAGACAGAGATTCAAGACCTCCCATGAGTCGTGTGGTCGAGATGCTTCTACACCATGAAGTCGATCGTTAGCAACAGCAAGCAAGGTTGTATCAGTATTTTATTACATAGTTGAGAGTTATAATAATAATGAATTTGAATAGGAAAGAAAGTGGTTAACCAGGAATCAGTTAAAAATAGCTCTTTCAGGATTTAGAAGGAATTGAATTATGTTGGCATCAGCTTCTCAGGAAGTTTTCCTTGCCAAAACAACTTGAATAAAATACTCTTACTTTAATTAACAATGGCTTGCCTTTTCATTGTTGTTGTTGTGGGAAGTGCATTTTTTTAATGAGATGAATTATTAATTGGAGTAGAAGGTTTTGCAGAATTGTTAAAATTATAACAATTGTTAAGCATAGGATAACTAGGCAAAATAATTTTTCATAAAAATCCAGTTCATTAAATTTAATTGTTTTATAGATGACTTTTCATAAAGGTTGTTCGATAAAATTAATTGTAAAAGAAATAACATCTTTAAACATTAGAATAAAAATCATGTTATTGACCGTCTACATGAAAAATTATTGCTGAACAAGATCAAAGTGAACGTGAATGTGAGTGTAATTTTTTTTTTAATTATTATCATATCTTTATATGATTTTTATTGGTTAAAATATTAAAAATTATTTTTTATAAAAAATTAAAATTTATTCTTTTAGTGTAAATTTAAAACTTAAAATATATAAAAAATTAAGTTTTATGTAAATAAGTTAGTGGAGAAATTAAACGTTTTTTCCTTTCGTTTACCTACTCTATTGACCATTACATTGACTTGGTGGTTTGGATAGGGGGAGCTGTCACCATCAACTCTTGCCTTTTCGTGATGGTCTTTTACCTGCGTGTCATGGGGAGACACAAGTCGTCAGCTTTAGTCTATACAGTATTATAGAGAGACTAAACATTAATGTTTGTACTGTATTTCCTTACAGGAAATTAACTTTAGTAAATAAAAATTGCATAAAACCTTTTAAATTTAATTTCAAAATTCGCAACTGGAAACAAAGTGAATTGATTACAAAAATTGTCACATCACAGTGTAAATACTTACGATAAAATTCCACAATTTGTACGTGGAAAAGTATCATTGTGTTTTCTGTTTTGTTCACAACGACCTATTTAACCTGATTTAACATTCAAATACTACTAGATAGAATTTATTTCTCTGTTTCAGGCTTTCAGCTCATTTTTAGTTCCCACATGGCCACTCGGTTTTTCTTGCTAGTTTTTTCACTTCCCTTTCTATGTTCAGGCTCTCATACTTTTCTGAATAAACAAACATCTCTCTCCGTGGAAAATGCAGAAACATTTTAATTTCAGAAAATGGCGTTTTCTCTGCAGGATTTTACCCTATTGGCGATCAAGCTTATTGTTTTGCCATTTGGTTCAATCAACCTTTCTGCAGAAAAAATTGCACAGTGGTTTGGATGGCTAATCGCGATACGCCTGTTAATGGAAGACGATCAAAGCTCTCTTTGCAAAAAACAGGTAATCTTATCTTAACCGATGCCGGTCAGTCCATCGTTTGGGCCACCAATACTGCCTCTGTCTCCTCAATGAAGCTTCAGCTTCATAACAATGGCAACCTTGTGCTGCAAAGTATGGAGGGTGATAAACTTTGGCAGAGCTTTGATTCGCCAACAAATACTCTTCTACCTCAGCAACCACTCACCAAAAACGTTCGCCTTGTTTCTTCAAGAAGCCAAACGGATATCTCTTCTGGTTATTACAAGCTTCTTTTCCACCAGGATAATATTCTCTTTCTTGTGTTTGATGGCCCTGAAACATCAAGCGTATATTGGCCCGATCCATGGCTTTTGGACGATCAAATCGACAGGTCAAGATATAACGATAGCAAAATTGCGGTGTTTGATGATAAAGGCCATTTCTTGTCCTCCGATGGAGTGAAGTTTCGATCTCTTGATTATGGTAAAGGGCCGTATAGAAGACTGACTCTGGATTTTGATGGCAATCTTAGACTCTACAGTCTGGAAGAGGAGAATAGGACTTGGTCTGTCACATGGCATGCTACATCCAAACCGTGTAGGATTCATGGTGCTTGTGGACCCAATAGCATTTGTATTTATGATCGGAATCTTGGCAGGAAATGTACTTGTCCACCAAGATTCAAGATGAAGAATCAGACGGACTGGAGCTATGGATGCGAACCAGAATTCAAGATTCCATGCAAGAAAAAAGATGTCGGCTTTGTCAAACTCCATCACGTTGATTTTTACGGCTACAATATACACCTGCTTAAAAATTACACCTTTGCAATGTGTAAAGAGACTTGTTTAAACATGTGCAATTGCAAAGGATTTCAACATAAATTCATAGAGGATGACGGTCACTATAATTGTTATCCAAAGAGGGAACTGCGTAACGGACACCTTTCAGCAAATTTTAATGGAACTCTGCACTTGAAGTTTCGAAAATCTGAGATTTCTTCTTTAAAGGGAAATCTGCAAGAATTTCAATTAAATTGCTCGATCCCATTGAGGAAGAATTTAAATAGGAGTTATGACAAGAAAGGTGGAAATGGATCGTTGAAGATTTTGCTTTGGTGTGCATCTGTAGTTGGATGGATTGAGGTGGTTAGCATATCTGTCGCACTTCTCTTCATATATAGAACTCGACTACGTTCAGAGGCAGCTAATAAACAAGGCTATTTTGCGATTGCCACTCGCTTTAGAAGATTCTCTTACGCAGAGTTAAAAAGGGCCACATGTGATTTTTCCAAAGAAATTGGAAGAGGAGGAGCTGGTGTTGTCTATAAGGGAGTTTTACCTGATCAACGGATTGCCGCGATCAAACGATTAAATGAAGCTAACCAAGGAGAAGAAGAATTTTTGGCAGAAATAAGCACAATCGGCAGGCTAAACCATATGAACTTGATTGATATGTGGGGATACTGTGCAGAGAGAAGTAACAGGCTTTTGGTGTACGAGTATATGGAAAATGGATCTTTAGCTGATAATCTAATGTCAAATGTGCTTGATTGGGAGAAGGGATTCGATATTGCTGTAGGCATTGCAAAAGGCCTAGCTTACTTGCACGAGGAATGCTTAGAATGGGTTCTACATTGTGATGTGAAGCCTCAAAACATATTACTAGATACTAATTTTCAGCCAAAAGTAGCTGATTTTGGCCTGTCAAAAATTCTAAACAGAGATGGCACTAGTGATCTAACTTTCTCAAGAATAAGAGGCACCAGAGGTTATATGGCTCCTGAATGGATTTTGAATCTACCAATCACTTCAAAAGTTGATGTTTACAGCTACGGGATGGTTGTGTTGGAAATGGCGACTGGAAATGGTTTCCAGACAACTGGCAGTGAAGGGGTGGGAGAGCACCAGGGGTTAGTGGCAAGGGTGAGGGAGAAGAAATATGGAGCTGAATCCATGGCAGTTTGGATACAAGAGATTGTAGATCCTGCAATTGGTAGCCAATGGGACATGAACATGTTAGAAATTCTAATTGAAGTTGCTATGCAATGCGTGGAGGAAGACAAAGACGTAAGACCTACCATGAGTCAAGTTGTTGAGATGCTCTTGCGCCATACATGATTGTGTTTAGCAGCTCTGCACTCTAGGAAGTTGAGATTATTTAACTTCTATTTCCATTTGAGGCAAAGAATGCGTGGACCAGATTCCTACTGTCAGTTTTAGCCAGGAACCATTAGTATCTAGTGTCAAGTTTTGGAAAGTAGGATCTGATATTAGATTTACAACTGGTTTACAGTGACGAAGACAAAACAGGTTCAACAACTCGCTAAGTTAAAATCCCAACATCAATTTGTAAATATCAAAAAAGTTCACTGTGTAAGGCAGTAAGGCACAGAAAATTTAACATAGTCCTAACTATTACTATTTGCTAAGAAAGAAAGAAGAAAAAGAAAAAGTCATCTCAAAAAAGGAAGTGAAATTTCTATTCAAGATACCTCCTTGTTTATGCATAATTAAGAATGATGTGATGAGCATACTGTGGCAAACATGCTTAAAATGAAACTTTTGCAACTTTTCTTTTCTTTTCTTTTCTTAGTTGGATTTTCTTTTCTTTGGAGAAGTACATTGAAAAAATAAATAAAGAGAAGGGCTTTTTGAAATATTTGGCAGTGATATTTATGTTGATAGGAAGAATCACACTTGCTGTCAGAAGCAACCTGGACCTAAAGGAAGAACAGTTGAAATGCTTATGAAAGATATTAGCAAAATATCTATAGATTTAAACGATGGTTTTTGGAATCACATGTTCAATTGTTAGCGATATAGAGACTAATATATTTAGGATTCTGATCCTTCATCTCCCATTTTTCCAAATTACTTTGAAGTAGATCTTACATGAGGAAAAATCAATGTGCAGAAGAAACTAGCGTTAAATATTAGTGTCAGTCCAACACAAGCCTGTGAAAGTGTGAAATATTAGTTTGCTTTAGGAGCTAGGTTTTTTTTTCCCCAGTTATCTTGACAATGAAGAGATCAAGTTTTCTGAATGTTTACTACTTTGTTTTGGTATAAATAAATGAATTTAAAAGTACAAAACTCGATTATAAATCTGTTGAATTTTATAAAATTAAATTTACCAGAGTGAAAGAAACAACTTATATGCTTAGGACTAGGTTTTTTATTTTCCGCCAGTATCTTGACAAGCGAGAGAGATCCAAGTTTTCTGAAATGTTTACTACTTTGTTTTTTGGTATAAAATCATAAATGAATTTGCAATAAGTCACAAAACTCGATCAAGAAAAAAAAAAACTAAAAAAAGATACATGTATAAATCTGTCGTTGGATTTTATAAATTAATTTTACCAAGTGGATAAGAAAAACAACTTTATTATATAGTAATATAGTGCATTTAATATAATATATATATAATTAATATAAGTATAGGATAATAATAACACGAAAACAAAATACAATATAATTGAAACAAGAAAATTCTAAAGTGCACTGTGCAGTTATATATAATGAACACGAAAACAAAACAATAAATTGAACAAAATTCTAAAAGTGCACTGTGCAGTGTGCACCACTTCTCAGAAAAGGAAAACAGAGTAAAGCCCGAAGTTCAAAAACAGGGCATGTAGGATGTTGGTTATTGCCTTCTTTGTTAAGCAAAGGAGTGAGTTTCTTATTTCTTTTCCGCGTATTTGGAGATTCAATTAGATTACTTTTTTGTTTTTAAATTTTAACATCACGGTTCTTTACACTCTGAGCATTTATTTGAGTTATGAAATTGCTAAAAGAATTGTTTTTGTCCCTCTAGAAGGCCCTACAATTTATCTGGGTAAATATATATGACAAACAAATGATTGAAGGCAAATCTCCAGAATATGCTAAAGCATTTAGTTTGGTGATCCAACGTTCAATTCCTATATTCTCACAACGTAAAGGAAGGAGGAGGAGGAGGAGGAGGTAGCACGATTTAGATGCAGAAAATGCAATGCTGAATAGTCCAAAAGGAAACTTCCAACATGTATTTTCAATTTTTGCACATGACCAAAAACATTTGGTTACAGCCAACAACAGGCTCATAATCATTTTCCCCAAGTTGGTTTCTCCTAGTCCTACTAACCCAACTAACAAACAAAATTATTCATTCACACTTGAGATTTCTGTGTTCCAAAGGACAAGAAAACTGGCATTTCACTTTTATTGGTTTATGATTCACTATGTGCAAACAAAAACGGTTGTCCTTTCTGTTTATCAACTGTAACCAACTTGGTCACCAGTTAATTGAACCTGTCAGTCTGTCCTCTATTTCTGTTAATTTCAATTCCCTTATTTACTATTTTGTTACTTTAATTTAATATCTAGAGTCCAAAATAAAAGGAATAATTAAACAAATCAAAAACATAAAAGAACACAAAAGATTTTTCTTTTTTTTTTTTTTTTTTTTTCGTCTCCCATAAACAGTACCCTCTAAATACCATTTTTGTTCCACTGTACACTACCAAAATTATTACTTCTGTATAAAGCAACGATTAAAGCAAATTAAAGAAACAAAGACGACCGTTCCCCCCTCCCTCCCCCCTCTTTTCTATCATCTCTTTATGTCTCCGATTCTTGCTGAGTCGACTCGGCTTGGATCATCACCATGATCACTAAAAGCTACTCTGTTCAACTACTCGATTCTGCTAATTCCAATTCTCTTAACCACAGCATTCCTAATGGCTTCAGTTTGAAAGCACATGCCATTCTGTTCAATACCTGACATGTAATTTCTCACTTCCTTCCTTATCATCTCTTGCATCACTGCCAAGAACTCAGGATTAAAGAACTGCTTCTCAAACCCAACACAGTTCTGTTGTACCGCTGGAACTTGCTGCACTGGAAGAGTAGCTGGGGGCATCGCCGGTGTCTGTACAACATGCGTTGGGCTTAGTCCATGATTGAATCCGGATCCTGACCCGGAACCAGATACCTGATTTGAGGCTTCGCAAGAATCGGATCCAGGAAGGGAGAGGCTCAAAGAGGTCGGTGGATCTGTTGTGGAAGAGGTGGCATCGATTGATGGACCGGGCGGTACAAGGGAACCCGTCCTCGCCAGGGGCCTGTAAACAGGGGAAGAAGCCATCCCAGGCAAGCTGGAGTCGCTGACATCGGATCCGGATGGACTACTCGGGTTAAGGTGAAGACCCGAAATGTTGGTGCCCGCACCGACGCTGGCGGATCTTTTGAGAGGCTGTTGTACGTCGTCGTTTAAGTCATCAGATAGAGAGGAGCATTTTCGCTTGAGAGTAGAGTTCCAGTGGTTTTTGATAGCGTTGTCGGTGCGACCATTGAGAAGGCGAGCGATGGTAGCCCACTTGTTGCCAAAGCGGGCATGGGCTCTGATAATGGTGTCGTCCTCGTCAGCGGTAAAAGGCCTGTGTTCGACCTCAGGGGAGAGCTGGTTGCACCATCGCAACCGGCAAGACTTGCCAGATCGACCAGGGATCGATTTGCTTATCAAAGACCAATTTCTAGGGCCATAGTTTTGGACCAGTCTCTGTAACGCCTCGTCTTCTTCAGGACTCCAAGGACCTTTGATCCGATCAACGTCTTTTCTAGCCGCAGAAGCCATCGATTGCGAGAATCCCGAAATCCTAATGAAGATGTCTATTAAATAAACTAGGTATTGAAATTAATTGCTATGAGGAGGACGGTTTCTTTGTGGCTGGCGGAGGCGGAACCTCACCTTCTCAGTTTTTAAGAGAGAACAGAGTGGAAGAAAGTAGAGCGGGTAATATATATGGAAGGGATAAGGATGACTTGCCAAACCGGTTATAGTGACCGGTCATAGCTGTTGAGAGTGGGGGATTCTTCCGGGCAAGGCAGTTACTAGTAAACAGCTGTCAAATAGACACGCGTCGCTTTATAATAGCTCAAGCTTACACGTATAATAACTCGCTCTCCACTCTTAAAAAGAATGGATTTTATCTGCAGTTTGCCAGAATACGGCTCGTCAGGTTCACACCAAATCACACAACCTACAAGCAACAATGGACGGTCTCGATTGAATTGATTTAAAAAAATAGAAATTTGAAAATTCTTAGTCAGCAAATGACATGGCACACAGCCCATTTTAATTAATTGAAGTATAAGTAAGGCAGTTAAAACAATGGAAGGTGAAGCAGTGCCAACTCATGTGCAAAATATCGGTATTTAAAAAGTTAAATGACCGTTTTGGAAGTTATAAATGGAAAGGGGTGGGTGGGGGTTATTTTTTTTTCCATAATATATATTTAAAAAATAACGAAAAATATGGTTGTTTATCTTATTATAAGAAAATGTTCAAAAAAGAAGTGAAGTGTACGGTTGGAGATGGATGGGAGCGGGGGATGACTTTGACCGAGACAGGCTGGAGAGCATTTACGTGAAGGATATTTTTCTTAAAAAATTTAGAAAAGAAGAAAAATATAGAGAGAGAGAGAGAGAGAGAGAAAAGGACGCACGGGAGTTGATGAGCTGGCGCAGAAAACGACAAAAGTTGAGAAGCAGAATCGGGGGACGAACGGTACTACAATTCTGTCAGTCCAGGCTGTCAAATTAGCCCCACTCAATTACCCACCCTCTTAACGGCCTACTCCCTAGTCTCTACAGTACCGCCACGTGCCAGTCACGCACCACCCAGTTTCTGAACTGCCAAAACCGACTCCACCGTCTTGCTAGCATTATTTAATAATATTTGAGGGTTTCTTGGTTGGTTCATTTTCCTTTGAATTCAAATTCTGAGACAAACGCTGCCTCGAAATGATGTCGTATAAAGCTCTTCTTCTTTTCCTTTTTATTTGTTTTGTTACTTTTTTTTTTTTTTTTTTTTTTGACATCATAGTCAACAAATTTTTTTAAAAAAAATAGATCGGAAAAATTAGATTTCAATATTTGGTTCGTACTCTTTTAAAAAAAAATGAATTTGTGAATATGAGAAAGTTTTTTTTACTTTTAAACAGTGTAAAAATTAGATTTATATAAAAATAAAATAATTTAAATTATATAATAGTAATTATTGTTACAATTATGCTACTTTACTTCTATCGTCATTCAAATTTACTTTTTTTTTTGAACAGTTCAATTCATTCAAATTTACTTTATAACTCTACCTTTTAAAAAAATAATAATAATTTTTCATAAATTGAATTTCAATAATCAAAAGACCACCAAAATGAAAAGAAAAAAATAGAAGATTTCTATTTACAAATCCCTTTAGTTTCCAAGTTGAGGAAGTATATTATGTTATACTGTACATATGTATGCTTCTTCCAAAGAACTTTTTGGTTGGAATCTGTAGTTTAATTCTTAAATTTGGATAAAAAAATTGTGGCAACTTAAACTTCACTTTTTGTAATAATTTTATATTAAAAATAATAATTTTAAAATTTTTTATTTTTATACATAACATATTAATTTGATACGTGGTTAACACAATTTTGGAATAATAATATTTTTATATTTTTTAATTATTTAATAAGTGGCTAATCAATATAATTTATAAGTTGAGGTGTTCAAAAAATGAAATAAAACATTTAACAGGTTCAATTTTGAAAATTGAAGTGTTTAACGAATCAATTATATTTCTAAAAAGTTTATTTTTTTTAGGTATAAACAGTTTATTCCTTCATGATATATACGGGTTGGACTCACTAAATTATGTTATTTTTTTTACTCCATGAGCAAAGAAAAAAGAAAGAAGCACGAAGTATATACCAGAAAATTTCAAATTGTGACAGTTCTTTTATATGGCAAGTGCTAGTTTGATGTATGTTTACCCATACATCAAAAATGGGCAAGTCTTGTATTTTAAAATAGTAAGTAAATAAAAATGGCAATACAAATGTGCATAATAACAAATGGCACGTTAGCATGATTCATATACCTAAATTAAAAAATGAAAGGCCATAGCTAGTTGTGTTACTCAAAATTAAAAAACAAAAATTAATTCATATAAATTATAAACTAAGGGTCCATTAAGTTTGAATACAACTATTGAAATTAATATTTAAAATGAAAACAAGATACATTTTCCTGGGTTCACCGAGTATTTTGTTGATAAATCATAAACAATTTGTACGACTCACAGTCACCGAGTCGTAGACATATACAAACGAGATGGGTTGCTTTTGAGAGGAGAAAAGAACAATAAAAACAGAAAAGCAATTGGAAACAGAAAGTTGAATTAAGAGGGAAAGGATAGAAAGAGAGTGTCGTTGTCGTTCTTCAACATGCAGTCGTTACGCGGGAGACAGCTGTCTATAACATCTCTCTGCCATACACAACTACCCTCGCATGCCACGCGCACCCAACTTCCACCTAACCTTGTCTACTTCCCGTACTTCCACGTGACTCACTCCTCCGCACGAGCGCACCTCACGTGAGTTGCATTCCTCTCTTTCAACAATCTTGTGTTCTGCGTTCATAGATTAATTTAACTCTTTATCATTTCAAGAAAACTCTGCCCCATTTAAATTCATTAATAAATTTCTAAATGCAAATTTAACAGATTAATGAGAAAATTTTAACAATTCCGATTAATTAATCGTGGGCATTAGAAATTTAATCAATATCTAAATCAATACGTGCATTATAAATCTTATAAATTAAAAGTAAAAAATAGAGAAAAATATTGAAACTTAGCGTTATAGATAAAATCAGGATAAGGAAGAAGAGTATCCTTTTTGGAAATAGGAAAGGAAAGTAAGGGTATCATATCAATCATATAGAAAGGAACAATTAAATTGCTGACAAAAATTCTCATAATTCTGGTAATTTGGCAAGTAAATAGAGGAAGCTGATGTATATGTACATGTGCTATTGAATTAAACGAACAAACCCAAGGGCTAAGGGCTGAGGTACAATCATATAGGGGTGCATTATTAGCATTGGTTCTTCTGATGTTCAATATTTGAGGGCAGAGATCGGTCCCTAGGATGGTCACGTCTTTTTGCAACAACTATAATGCCTCGGATTCTCTCAATGCTGCCATATTTTAAATATGAAAAAAAGAATTTTTTATGGGACGATAGGTCACAGTGTCAGTCCTTAGAAAGTGCTACCTTTAAGTACAAAGAAATACGGATATCAATTCCGCAATTAGAGAATATGATTAAGGGATGTGATTTGTATTAGTATTAGTTAGAGGAATGATCAGTCACATGGCCTAAGAAAGAGGGACGATGTTTCCTTTCTTTGAAGCTCACGATTTAATTATTCCCTACTGGATTTAATTTAGTAGCTAATATAAACAAAAGTTGCGATTGCTACTCCCGATAAACCGTGGATCTAAAGAGGAACCACACATATTGGGACAATAATTTTATTGCAAGTGGCCATTGCTGGCTGCCTGCCTTGCTTGAATCCACAACACCATATGTATAATTTAGTAAACCAATTCGGCTATAAAGACCCCACAAGATATTTTACGCGTGTGGGTCTAAGAATAACCAAATTAGATTAACTTGTATGATTAATTACTATATTAAGCACATTTTTAATTTCTTAATTGCCAACATGTGGAACTTACTGTTGGTCCAGTGGCAAACGGTGACCTTCCCCTTTTGAATTATTGGTGTTGCAGTGCCACACGTAGACCGAACCAGATAGTAACTGTCAATCTGTCATGCCGTGTTGCTAGAGTCTTCGGGTAAAAATTTACCTATTGCCGATACATAAACACACCTTATCCACAAAACGATTAATTTTTTTTTTAAACGGAAGTATTTTTAATAATTCACTTAAAATAAAATAATAATAATTTTTAAAAAAGTTTCAATTAGTTCAGTTTATAAGTAGTTTTGCTCCCGTAACTGGACAAAAGAGACGGTGTATTGGGTGGAAGGCAGCACACACAATACGTAGACAAATCAATCATGACCAAACGTCCGACACCTTATGTGGTTCAATCATGTACCATTGAACTGTTTCTGTTAAGGAGGTGGGGCTGATGCCTAATTTGTCGTTTTATGCGTGACCTGGCAGTAATGGGGGGCCACAGACTTTAACGGACCTAACCGCAGTATTTTGAAAACTGTTGCCACGTCAACGCAAGCCAGCTGTAACCCACTTAACCGAGTTCCAAGAGAGAATCATACTCTTGGCATTCGCAAATAGAGTGTGTGTAGTGTGGGTCCCCTTTACCATGATTTTCCGCTGCTGCATGCATGCATGCATGCATCCATCCATCCATCCATCCATCATCGTACGGTGGGAATCGGAGAGCACCTGACGTTAGAGAGAGGATGCGGTATTATCGTACGGCTCATTCTATATCGTCTCTTCTCCTAAACTTTGGTCAACATATTCGGGTTCGATAAACCAGCATTTGCTCGTAATAGCAAAATTTTTTGAGTTGCGAGAAATCAAATGTAGTATTAGAAAATGTTTTATGTGTATTATTATGGCTTAAGCCTTATAGAGAGTGTTAAAATTGTGGTCGTAATTAAGTTATAGTCAATGTTTAAAAAAGGTCGGAGTGATATCCAGTTTTACTCAACTCGCTAAAGATAAACTGATTGACTGGTTTTGTAGTTTTGTTATGTTATATAGAAACCCAAATTAAAAATGCCTAAACCGACTTTCGATTTATTGGCGTAGTTAGCTCCATCACATCCCATCATTCTCCAACTACCAACCAATACACAGAAAGGAAGAGTTTCATATCTCAAAGCAATAGTGCTGGTCAAACTTTCAACCTCCCACTTAAACAATTTATAGAAGAATAATGTAAATGAAAATAAGATCGATAGTAGAAGAATTCAATTGAAGAAGTAGATAAATTTGAGGGGATAAAAAAGGGTATTTTGTAAAAGATGAAAAAGAGAGAAACTAAAAAATAATAGGGCGTGGTTCTCGTGCTTTAATTTTTAATGTAAAGAAGAGGAACAAGAGAGGTAGGGCCCAACTGAAGAATTGACTGCTCAAATAAAGTCATATACCTATCTGAGAATAGGGTAAGAATGAATGGACTGATACAAACCATTGGGTCTTCCTTCAAGTCATCCAACTTTTTCGTTTGTCATTATTATTGTTATTATTGATGATGTTTGTGTTTTAATGGAATAACAATAGTTTTTTATTAGTAGACGTACTTATTATATATATATATATATATGTAATCATCAAAGTGGATTACAACTAACATTTAGGTTTATGTTTGATAGTATGTATTATTTAAGTAAATCGTTAATAAGACGTTAAATTGAATTAATGATTTGCTGAAATAAACAAAAGTCTAAGGTGTCTCTATCACCATCAATATTCAATTTTGCAACTATATCTTCTGTTATTATTTGTTTTTTTGGTTATGGGTTAGAGGGTCAAAGGGTTGGCAATACAATTTTGATAGGTTGACCCGTTTGAGATAGAACCGGAAATGAATTTTGTTGTTGGGTACTTGGGATGTGGACGTGGATGCGCTTCAGTTTCTGCATTGGCCAGGCGGCTGTTTGGGCCTGCCACTGCCGTTGCATAAAGGTGAATGAATAAAAAGGTCGGCTTTGCGTTGATGGATACACTTACAATTTAATTTAAAAAAAAAAAAAATAATTTATTAACGTGCAAGTTTAACGGACCTTGAAATAATATTGATTCCTTGTAGGAGGATTTACTTTTTTATTTTGAATAAATGTTTGGTGTCCAGGACCATCTGCCAAGTTGGGCCATTATTCCTCATCGTATCAAAAATTGAATAGGCCTAGTTAAAAAGCTGTCTTACTTTTTATTTTCTTTATAAGCAAATGGTTTATCAGAAGAAACCATGACAAAGGACAGCTACTCTTCTTCTTCTTCCCTTTTTTTTTTTACAAAGAATTATACAGGATATTTATTACAAGCTCAAATGACATTATTAACTCACTGAAGAACAAAAACTATAAATATATTATAAATGAAATGTGAATCCCAAATCAATTAACTTTGTTTAAATGCAAAGTTGCTACTTTATTTTATGTTTGTATTTTTTTTATATTATTGATATCGTAAATTAAAACCTACTGCTTCTTTGTAATTTGTAATATACATAAACTAATAGCATGTGGTCTGTGATTAATTAATTTATAAGATATAATATTAAATAAAGAAAGTTCAATCAGAACGCATGAGAAATCTAACTACTTTGCTTCTAAAATCGGCTGAGATATGAGAAAGAGAAAGGCCGGGAGGGGAGATTCACTTTTTTGACATTACACCAACCGCGCACAAGCGAGAGATCCCAAAGGATGCTTTCCTTCTTCTTGTTGGCTCTTATAGCGCAAGCCACTCGCTTCGTCGCGTCTCAACAGCTACCCACAAACATATTTATTCTCGCCGGACAAAGCAACATGGCCGGCCGAGGAGGTGTGATCAACGACACGAAAACAGGCAAGACCACCTGGGATGGCATTGTCCCTCCTCAGTGCCAGCCGAACCCATCAATTTTCCGGTTAAGTGCCGACCTCATATGGGTCCCAGCCCACGAACCACTTCACGCTGATATTGACTATAACAAGACCAATGGGGTTGGACCGGGGATGGCATTTGCTAATGCAATATTGACCGAGGACCCAACCATTGGAGTGTTGGGTCTGGTGCCATGTGCGATTGGAGGGACAAATATAAGTCAGTGGGCGAAGGGAGGTTTCCTTTATGAGCAGTTGGTGCGGCGAACTCAGGTGGCCTTGAGGAGCGGTGGAGCTCTTAGAGCGATGTTATGGTATCAAGGAGAGAGTGATACAATAAATAGAGAGGATGCTGATTCTTACAAATCCAGATTAGAGAAGTTTTTCTTGGAACTCCGATCCGATCTGCAATATCCGTTGCTACCAATAATCCAGGTATGGATTCATTAATTTTCTAATACTGCTTATTTGATCTCAATAATTTTTATGTTATTCTCAATAATTTAATCTGGTTGCTGTCCTTTCAAGTGTGTTTGAAGTTTCTTCCTGGTTTTTGGTAGGAATTAGGATGTGATTCTTGTTATTTTATCTTAGACCAATTTTGGCAAAACGTTAATATTTTAGAGTAGCTTTTGTTTCTTGTAATGATGGGTGTAATCATATTAGCTAATGTAAAGAAATGGTAGTGAAAATTTTTAAATTGGCAAATTAGGTGGCTCTGGCATCGGCAGAGGGGCCGTTTACCGAGACAATAAGAGAAACTCAATTGGGAATTAAACTTGCCAATGTGAAATGCGTTGATGCGAAGGGACTGCCGCTGGAGCCAGATAGGTTGCACCTAACCACACCGGCCCAGGTTCAGCTTGGACAGACGCTGGCTAATGCATTTCTTCACTCCCCTCCTAACGCAATCCGCACCAGCAGTGACAGTAATTTTTCTACAAGACTTTCTTGTTCGTTATCCTACCATTTGGTAGGCCTTATATTAATATCTATTCTCATTTTTACCTTAGAACTCCTGTAACAAATACAGTGTTTTACTTTTTTATCCGGTAAAAAATGTTGTAATCTCGAGTTCTAGCTAAACAATGATGAGTTGCTACATTGGGCCAATGGCTGAAAAGAAAGTGGATTTGGGGGAATAAGGTGAGGTTGGGCCATGGTTGTATTCATAGAAATGTTCGGACTCAGAAAGCCCTTTACATAACCAGCCCGTAGCAGTTTCGCACTTTTAGTGAAACATAACAAGTTTTGTATTTTCTGTTTTTTATTTTTCTTTTTTCACGTAAATAAAATTCTAAAGGAATTAATATTTTTGTGATATGCATTCAAATTAAATTAGTCATGTATTAGCAGATTATTTGTATTAAAACGTATCCGCATGAATATGATAGTATGATTTTACTTTTGGAATAATATTTAAAATTTAATTGTAATACGGACACGGATGAATTTCTTAATTAATGTATAATTATTAATTATGGTAATTCCAATATCCAAACCAATGTGTGTAATGATTGCTCTTGCCATCTATATATTTCCTTCGCGTTAGATACAGGGCAATTTTCATATCCTCCATTTTTATTATTTTATTATTTTATTTTATTTTCTCCATTCCTATTGTTGCCATCTATATATTGACACATTTCTAAATATTAAATAAATATATGATGGATACCCATAAGGTTGAGTTTCAATTGTAGGAGGCATTTATAATTAAAATAAATATATGATAAATGGCAACATACAACGAGGAAAGACTTATCAACTCCCATGTCCTATCCACAGCCCATATAAAAATTTAAAACGGCAGCCTATAAATTTCGCAATGCAAAACCCACGACACAATTCCTCAATTCATCAGAGCATATAAATATATACTCTTTTTTCTATTTGTAGGCCTTTCAATTCCACAAAAATCCATGTCCATTTCCTTATCCAAGCTGTTGTGGTTCCTTCATGTGTTGCTGCTGATCATATTACCCCACAGTTTAGCAAATAGCCAATCTCCTAATGACATCTTCATTCTAGCCGGCCAAAGCAACATGGCGGGCAGAGGTGGTGTCGATAATGGCAAATGGAACGGCTACATCCCACCGCAGTGCAAGTCCAACCCATCAATACTCCGGTTGAGCGGTGAACTGAAGTGGGAAGAGGCGAGTGAGCCACTCCAAGCAGACATTGATTTGAACAAAACTTGTGGGATTGGTCCTGGTATGGCATTTGCCAATGGGATCAAAGCGAATGATTCAAGGATTAGGGTGGTGGGTTTGGTGCCTTATGCGATTGGTGGGACCAAAATCAGCGAGTGGGCTAGAGGGACGAGGTTGTATCAGGAGTTGGTTCGTCGAGCTGCTGTTTCAGTGAGCTCGTCTGGTGGAACCATTAGAGCTCTTCTATGGTACCAAGGAGAGAGCGATACAGTTTTGGAAGCAGATGCTGTGGCTTACAAGCAGAAAATGGAAACGCTTATTGTCAGTTTGCGTTCTGATCTTAATATCCCTTCTCTTCCTGTAATCCAGGTAAGTTTATTATTTTTAATGTCTTAATTAAAATCTGAACCAAATGCTCTAAAGGATTGGAAGTGGTCATCATTAACAATTCAAAAAAAAGTTACTAAAGTGATTGAGCAATTAACGGTTGCGCTCATTTTGGTCTGGCATGACAAAAGGCTGCCAAACGCTAACGTGGAAAACAGCGTGACAGTCTTACACTCTGAAGTGTTGTTTACGGAATACTAGGTCTATAGTTTCACATGAATCTGAACCATATTGTCAACAGCCAAGTCCTGGATTATTGCTAATTTTGGCCCACGCAATTATGTTCATTTACTTATTTTATATAATAAAACATAAAACTACTGTCCAAAAAAAAAAAACATAATAATTGAGAAATATTATACATAATTGAATCTTTTTTCTTTTTTTTTTTTAAATTAAAATATTAAAAATATGGTATTGGTGGTATTGTGCACAGGTAGCGCTTGCTTCAGGAGAAGGCAAATACGTAGAGATAGTAAGAAGAGGTCAGCAAGCAATTACACTACCAAATGTGAAGTGCATAGATGCCAAAGGATTGCATCTCAAAACAGATAACCTGCACCTTACTACCACCTCCGAGGTTGGCCTTGGTCTCAAGTTCGCTAATGCCTATATTTCTTCTTTTGCTCATTTTCGTTAATTTTATTTTTATTGATGATGGACTCAATCTACCGTGTAAGTCATTGTCTGAATATCTTTAACTGCAACGTAACAGCTTTATTTAGTTATGTCCTGAAGATTATATAAATACACTAGTAAAAAGCTGTCAGGTTACGTTTTGGTTGGCACGATATATATTTCTGGCATGGTGGAGTTAATCATTTAAGAAAAAAACAGACGATTTGCTAGAGTGAAGCGTTTATTACAATTATTGAAAATTAAATTGTACAAGGAAAGTGGAAAATAGAGTGATGACATGTAGGTGCCAATGCACATCTAAAGCTTCTCATCAGACTCGGATTGGAATTGTACTATTAACCTATCTTAAGATGCACCTTGCCCTTTGGGATTTCATACTATTCAAGCTCTACCTCTGTAATGTCTTATTGGCTGTGAAACGAATAAATAAATTAACCCGACGAATATGATTTTTTTTTTATTTTAACTTACTAACCTTAATCTCTATAGAAATTGAAGCGAATGATTGCTATTGTTGATTATTAAACATATAAAAATAAAGAGTAATCCCAGTTTAATCGACCAAAAATTGTTAAATCGGAGGCTCGTAGCCCATAAGTTGAACAAAAAAAATGCCATGTATCCAAACCGAACCCAATTATTTACTTGCGTAGAATCTTGGATTGGTTGGATATGCTAATGATGGGTGGCGACAGCCTCCTGCCAAGGGGCTAAGTGCTAATCCAATCTTCATCGCTGACATGGCAGCATTTTAGTCCCCAGCAAATGGGCGTAATCTCTTCATATAACCCCACTTTTTGATATCGAGTCAGCATGAATAAGTCTATACTATTTCATGCTGTTGATGTTGTAATATAGAGAGGAGAAGAGGAAGCGAGGCAAAGAGGTTTTTACCTTTAAAAATGGCGGCTACTTCTTCATGGAACCTCTTGATCACTCCAAATAAACCAACTACTTCATCTTTCTCGTGGAAACACTCCGTCTCTTATCCTTTCACCACTGCCTACTTTCGCCGATGCCAAAACAGAACCACTAAAAGACTCGTAATTGTTGCTGCTATGCTGGACGCCAAGCCGACCGTCCTTGTCGCCGAGAAGCTTGGAGATGCCGGCCTAGAACTCCTCAGAAAATTTGCAAATGTCGACTGCTCTTATAACCTTAGCCCAGAGGAATTATGTACTAAAATTTCACTATGTGATGCGTTAATTGTGAGGAGTGGGACTAAAGTTACTCGCGAGGTGTTTGAACGGTCTGGGGGGAGGTTAAAGGTCGTGGGTCGGGCTGGTGTTGGAATAGACAATGTTGATTTGTCCGCAGCAACTGAACACGGGTGTTTGGTGGTCAATGCGCCAACAGCGAATACCATTGCCGCTTCCGAGCATGCGATTGCATTGCTTACTGCCATGTCCAGAAACATAGCGCAAGCTGATGCGTCCGTTAAAGCAGGTTTGGGCATTCTTCTTGATCTTCCGTTTAGGCATTTATTCGAGCAATTGGCGTGCTATGTCTAGTCTTAAGTTGGTTTGTGTGATCTTAGGTATCGTGATTGCTTGCTTTTAGATTTTTTTTAAAACAGAAAAGGACAATTCAATAACATCCTGTTGTAAAAGAATGTGTGTACTAGAGCAGATAAATGTGAATAACAAGCTATAGCAAGTATTTTACAGTTCACATTGTAGAATTGGCAATGTAACACTTCCGTTTCATAATTGCTAAATGATCCTGTATATTCTTCAAAAGCTAAGACATAAAGTTAATTTATTTTGATAACATTTGCTATTGAATGGTGCAGAATGATGATTTAAGATATAGAATTACAATTACGTCTATGGTATTATGGCCAGAATGTTGTGTCCAATAAATAGAGTTATTTGATAATTGAACCTAGCTTTGACTTCATCTAAATGACAACATAGTATACCTTGAGCTTTCCAGGCAAGTGGCAGAGAAACAAATATGTAGGGGTGTCACTTGTGGGGAAGATACTTGCTGTGATAGGGTTTGGAAAGGTTGGATCAGAAGTCGCTAGGCGTGCCAAGGGTCTTGGTATGCAGGTGATTGCACATGATCCTTATGCCCCTGCAGACCGGGCTCGTGCCATAAGTGTGGAGTTGACAAGCTTTGAAGAAGCCATATCATCAGCCGATTTCATCTCTCTGCATATGCCCCTTACCCCTGCTACATCAAAAATGTTCAATGATGAGACTTTCTCAAAGATGAAGAAAGGTGTCCGAATTGTCAATGTCGCTCGTGGTGGAGTCATTGATGAGGAAGCTCTAGTTAGGGCTCTGGATTCTGGGATTGTTGCTCAGGTTCCTAGTTTTGTTTACCAAGTGCATTTACCATAGTTATATGGCAAAGCAGACATTTAATAACTTTAGTATTTCTGCAGGCCGCTCTTGATGTATTTACTGAAGAACCCCCACCAAAGGATAGCAAGTTGGTGCTGCATGAAAATGTGACTGTAACTCCTCATCTTGGTGCTAGCACTGCAGAAGCGCAGGTGTGCTAGACCAGCAAATTGACCCCTAGGCATGCTTTGCTAACTTACAATATTCTATTACTTGCTTGATGGTGCTCGGTTTTGATCAGGAAGGTGTGGCCATTGAAGTAGCAGAAGCTGTTGTTGGGGCTTTGAAAGGGGAGCTTGCCGCCACTGCAGTGAATGCACCTATGGTTCCTGCTCAGGTATCATTCCTGTAATGTTTTCTAACTGTACTTCATGAAAGCATTGACTTTCAGGTGTAATGTATCAAGTAGAGAATCTTCAGCTTTCTGTTTCTGGTTATGGAATAGATAAGGACTTATTTTATGTTAATCTAACTGTATCCTTTTAATTTTTCTTTTTCGCATGATGATAGGTTCTTTCAGAACTCGCACCATTTGTTACACTTGCAGAAAAGCTAGGGAGGCTGGCTGTGCAACTGGTTGCAGGTGGAAGTGGTGTGAAATCAGTGAAGGTGACTTATGCTTCTGCTAGAGGGCCAGACGATCTAGATACACGACTGCTTCGAGCCATGATTATCAAAGGTTTAATTGAACCTGTCTCTAGTGTTTTTGTGAACCTGGTAAACGCTGATTTCACTGCTAAACAGAGAGGAATAAGGATAGCAGAAGAGCGCATTGTATTGGACGGTTCACCTGAAAGTCCACTAGAATTCATCCAGGTTCAAATTGCCAATGTTGAATCTAAATTTGCCAGCGCAATGTCAGAGTCTGGTGAGATTAAAGTGGAGGGAAGAGTAAAAGATGGGAAGCCTCATCTTACCATGGTAGGATCGTTTGGGGTTGATGTTAGCCTGGAAGGCAGCATCATACTGTGCAGACAGGTTGATCAACCAGGTATGATCGGTAAAGTCGGCAGTATCCTTGGTGAGGAGAATGTAAATATAAGCTTCATGACTGTTGGGAGAATTACTCCACGAAAACAGGCAGTTATGACTATTGGTGTAGATGAGGAACCCAGCAAACAAGCATTGAAGAGAATTGGCGAAGTATCAGCTGTTGAAGAATTTGTTTTCGTCAAGTTATAGTCTTACAGTCAAAATGATGCCCAGTGTTGGGAAAACGTCTTAGCTAGTAATTATTTCAAGATTGATTGGTGTTGTGTTCATAGTTCTTTTGATCAATTGACATTCATTTGTCGAGTTTCATTTTGTAATTAGATAACCCTTTCATTGAAGAATAGGCTTGCTTCTGTACTTTTGCTCCATTGATCATTCAGGTGTTTGGGCCTCTAGTGGACTTCATAAGGCCTTTCTATAAGTTAGAAGCCTGAGAAAGAGATAAGCTTTCTGTTTTTTACGTAGCTATTACTGTTACTTGCCTAATATGAAAGTTTTTTTGCCGTGCAAAAAAGAATTACTTTGCGTTTGGCAGTTTTGAAGAGCACAAATTTTAACGTGTCCATCTGCCAGAGACTCTCAGTCATGAAGCAAAGCTGGAGCAGCCACAGCATATCGTACGTGTCCTCAAGTATCGCTATCAGCAAAGGGTATAAGTCTTGAATGAGGAAAGGGTAGGTAGACCGGTGATAGCTTTCGGTATCTCAAACTCCCACAACAATATGAACAGTCAAGTATTAAATTATTATTAGTAATTTAGTGTTGTTCATCTTTATTTAATTTCTATGTTGGATTACTTTTTTTAAATGTCTTTTCATTGTTTTTTGGCAGGGAACTGAAAGAGTAAACGAAGAAGGTGCAATAGAAACCAAGGTGGATACGGTAGATTACCGATCATCAGCAGCGCAAGAGGAACCCAACAAGGAGAAGGTAGGGGTGGTTCACCTTACTCGCCAGAAGAGGGATTCCGGCAGCGGAGATGGCATCTTGGCGAGAACAGCTGCTGCAGTGACAAATACCTTAAGGTCTGCTAAGGATGCTGTCGTGGGTAGAGGCAAGGACAAGGATAGCACCAACAATTGATTCATAAAGCAGAGAGATAATATGAGTATGCTCCTTTTATATAATATGTGAAATATTTGGTAGCCAATAGAACAGTAAATGCTATGGAAGAAAAATCATTAAGAGCTGCTTTGGTTTGGTTTAAGCAAATATTGTGTACTACTAAAAATTATGTAAGTCTTCAGTATAATATAATACATATTTACACATTAAAATTTAGATTTACAATAATGATAACAATTTCATTCTACTTTATCCCTAATCCAGCGGCCTAATGACAAGGCTTTCTTTTTTTTTTTTTTTTTTTTTTTTTATTCCGGCATCATTCGTCACTTCTTCGAATTTTTTTTTTTTTTTTTTTTTTTTTTGAAATGGGAAATGACGAGGTATTTTTATGGTAGAAACTGGAAAGTTATTTAGACATGAAATTGGATTTTGGATAGAGAGTGCTCTTTCTTCTAACGACTGCATGTAATTTTCATTCTGCTTTCTCTAAAACAGAGCACAGAGAGTAACAAACTTTATATGCCACATCACCAAAGCGTGAAAAAAACCTAAAAAAACTTTAAAATATATAAATAAAAGTCTAATTCCAAATGCCAACCTCCATGAATCCATCTTCAGTGGCGCATCCCCTAAACATACCATTAGCGTTAGACCTACAAGCCACCTCTCCTTTACTGGACACCGCGATTAACCCTGCTTTCCCTTCATCTAACCGTTCATTTATAACAAAATCCACAGCCTTTTGTAATCCCAATCCCTTATACTCCATCACGGCCGCCACATCACGGGCCAGCGTCGAACGGATAATGGCTTCGCCTTCTCCTGTGCATGAAATTCCACAGAGGTTACACGCGTAAGTTCCAGACCCAATCAATGGCGAGTCACCAATTCGACCGCTTTTTTTGTTCATTAATCCCCCTGTTGACGTGGCTGCAGCGCATCGTCCTTCTTTATCAACCACCACACAACCTACTGTCTCCGGCGCATATACGCTGATTGGAAGACCGTTCATTTGCAAGGGAACGTCCATGGCCGCAGCGGCCCCGGCGCTGCAGCTCTCCAGTGGGATTCTGTAATCAAACTGTAATATTGGGCCAGAAGTGATTCATCAATTATTGGATCCACATGATTTTTTTAATTTTAATATCTAATTAACAGAAGGGTAATCGTGATTACCAAGATGGAGTTAGCTTCCTTTGCCAACTTCAGCATTCCCACGTTTTCATCGGTGATAAAGTAGTCATTTTGCACCAACTCTACACCCTGTTCCAAATTGTTCTTAGAATAAGACTATGTCCATTGAATCTATATATATGTATCTATATATATGTATATATATATATATTATTATATATATATATATAATATATGTACTTAAAAAAAATAAATTATTTCTAATTTTGTACAATATTTTTGTAAAATATATGTACTTAAATAAAAATAATTATTTCTAATTTGTACAACTATTTGTAAACCTATAGATTGTGAGATCCAATTATTTTGTATGATCACAGGAGCAGCCATTAAAATCGCAGACACTCCACGACGATTATTAAATTAAAATAATTAATAAATCCAAAAGAGTGGTTATTTGCAATTAAAAATGAATTTCTTTTCCGACACGTCAGAGTGTCTAATGATACAGTAGGAAGGAAGGACGGAAGAGTAAACCTGTTGTCTGGCAAATTCTTCTGCTCCAGAGAAGGCAAGATAGGAATGAGGAGATCTATCCATTACAAGCCGCGCAAGGGAGATGGGGTTTTTAACGGTGGTTAAACCTGATACCGCACCGCATCTTCTTCTCGGCCCATCCATAATGCTGGCTTCCATCTCCACCGTTCCCTTCTCGGTTAGAGCAGACCCACGGCCAGAATTAAAAAGAGGATCGCTTTCTAGTTCTCGCACCTGTGACAATGGACAAAATAAGATTTCAGGGGAAAAATTTACCAATAAGTTCTTTTTAGGTTCTTTCACGGGTAATTTTAGTGAAAGTGACAAAAGTTTCATGTCAGCCTTCAAGACCCATGAAAAGCAGTGCAAAAACAGAGATTAATTAATATTCGAAGATGTATTCCAGGCGAACTATAAGGATGTTAATTGAACCGTAAAAGAAAAAGAAAACACAGATCGTGGACTTTCTTCCACTCCTGTTTGATTAATGGGAAAATGTAAGAATATAAATGAAAAAAGCTGGTATATGTGATGAAAGTGAAAAGGTCTTGACTTTATCGTGAATATAAGATCCTAAGAAAGGACATGCAAGAAAATTAAAAATAGGAACATACAACAAGTTCAACGACATCGATGGCAGGCAGGTTGGAGCGAAGAGCGGAGATGCCGAGATTGAGGCAGCGAGCAAGGAGTTGTTTGGCCTCCTCTTGACGCTGTTGTGGAAGATGTGGATCCACGCCAGCGCCTCCATGCACTGCTATTGCCCACTTACCCATTTTTGTCTTTCTATTTCTCTCGCTCTTGCTCTAGAATTTGCCTTGGTGTATGTGTGTTGTGTTTTCTCTCTGTGTGCAAATGGAAATTGTTTGCCACTTTATATAGCCATTTTGGGGACACCCGGTGTCTCTGTGTTGGATTCTAATTTCTATTTGATTTCTGTTTTAGAATTTCTTTTTTTTAAAAAAAAAAAAAAGAAAAATAATAAAGGGAAAGAAGTTCATTTTTGGTTCCTGCTGACTCATGGCTCTCTACGCCCACTTGTTGCGGGACTTTGTCTTGCGCCAGTTTCTATGCGTTGTTTTCGTGTTTTAAAGTTTAAACTTTAAATTTCAGCATGTGTTGAAATTACGGTCTCACCCGTTCTGTTTTTACTCGGAGAAAATGCAGTTCTGCTGATGTTTACGAATATAGCAATGTGCATGGCGAAGAATCTTGCACTTTGCTTGGATGAGAGTGAAAAATTTTTAAGCAAGAAAAATAATGGAGTATTGTAATTATATTATTCATTTTTACTTTTTTTCTTTACCCTAAGATTGGATTAAAAAGAAATAAAAGAAGAAAATAAAATTATTTTTCTTAATTTGAAAATTTCCAAATTATAGAGCAAAGAAAATGAATTATTTTAAGAATTATATTCTTACCCTTTATAAATTTGTGCATAATTATTTTCGCAATTTCTCATAAAGAGTACTATTTTCCTTTAAAATCTCTTCTATTTTCTCACTATTTTTGAGATATTGCTGTAAAACAGGTGGAAGTAATTTTATTTTTCGTTTTCCGTCCTTTCAAAATTTTACATCCATATTTAAAATGAGAAAAAGTTATATATCTTCTTTTATCATTTTCCACTTATATTTTCTTTCCTCACTCCATCCTAAATATTAGTAGCATTTAAATTGAATATGTAGTGGCATGGTTAAAAGTTAAGTGCTTTTGTAAATCTTAATTCATTGCAAAGGAAAAATTTGCTTCTTTCACTCTTTTTATCAATTCCTCCAATAAAATTACAATTGATTAACTTCTATCCAATTTTCTAGAACATATTATATTTTAAATAAGATATATGCAATGCTCGACATTAATTTTCTACTGATATTACAATTTTGCCATTATTATTTTTATTAGTCTGTCACTTTGGAAATTGAAATAAGTCTTCAAGCAATTGACAATACATGCTCAGTTGGATTCGCAGAGATTAATATTTTATTGTTAGGACGTGAATAAATATCCTACTGAGTTTTGCTCTGCAACTCTGAAATGTTTTAAAATTTTGTCCTTTTTGATCAAATGGTTAACTACAGTACTTGAAGAATCTATCAGGTTAGGTATTAAAATGAAACGGCCATCGTCCTGGTAATATTGTTTTTAAGGTTCTGACATTTTCACCCCTTCAAATTATTGTGGGTCCCTCCGACATGTGAAACTCACATGCTTTGAAAAAAAAAAAAAAAAAGGAAATCGTGTTCTTTAAATAATCTATCACGTCATGTATTAAAATGAAACAGCTGTCGTCCTGATAATATTGTTTTTTAAGGTTCTGACATTTTCACCCCTTCAAATTGTTGTGGGTCCCTCCGACATATGGGACTCACATGCTTTGAAAAAGAAAAAAAAGGAAACGTGTTATTTGAGGAAAGAAAAAAAAAAGAAAAGGAAAAGTCTAACAAGGCATGTAATTCTTTTGACAAAAAGGAGAGCCGTGAATGAGTTATACACGGCTCTCTCGTAACCTCTCCTATAAATAGAGATAGCGAAGCCTCAAGCAATACACAGCAAAAAGGAAGAAAAAAAACCGTCTCTATAATAGAGATAGCGAAGCCTCCAAGCAATACACAGCAAAAAGGAGAAAAAAAAAATGAATAGAGAGAGTGTATCTAGTTTTAGGAAAAGGGTTTTTCTAAAAATTAGGGGAGAGAAAAATAGTGAGGAAAATATATGGTGTGTTTTTGGAAAACAACTTGGAGTAACACTATTTTTGTATTGCTCTCTTGGTGTACCTACTATTTTTAAATAGTGGAAGAATTATTCGAGTTTGTCCCGTGGACGTAGCTCTAAACATTGAGGGTGAACCATTAAATTTTTCCTGTGTCCCATTTCCTAGCTTTATTCCGCTACTATTAATTTTCTCTTAATTGGTTGAGAGGGCCGAGACAAAGTGTATAGGAGCTGATGCCAAAAAACTATATCAGAGACTGATGCCTAAGCAAGTTAGTATCAAGAGGGCCGAACGTTTTTCGGCAGAGTCCAGCCGGTCAGATAGGGTAACCGCATCCGTGGATGATATTTTGAAAATAAAATTATACCATGATGAAGAGAAAATTACGATGAGTCACATTGGTGCTGTCCGCTGGAAAAGACGTTGGCGAATTGACTTAGGTGATGAATAGTAAAATAGTTAACCTTCAAAAATACTAATTCGGTTGGTTACTGTTGCTGAGTCCGTTTTCAAGTAAGTACCCAGCACTATTGACCGGCTATGGTACATTGTCACAGTGTACAGTTACTATTCAATAGCAATACGCAGTTAAACTATCGAGTAATTATTACTGATTACATTGTCCGCAACTAATTCAACGTATAACTACTGTTCAGTATAGGTTTTATAATGTTAGTGATTGATTTTCCTGCGCGAAGACAAAATGAAACAAGCAAAATGATCAGTCTAAATAGCGGGAATTACCATTAGTATGGGAAAAATAAAGAGATGCTCTAAATGGTAATCAAAATGCATTTTGCCCTGTGTTAGTTCAAACTAAACCGGAAGACAGAGGACTTGATAGAGGAATAAGGCTTTTCGAGCATCGCGTTCCAAATCTCGGGTGGCAGATTTGGGATGATGAAGGTTTCCTGTATGCACCTTCAAAAATGGTCAGTGGAAGCTCACAAAAGGTTCATTTGTGGTAGCATAAAGACCGAAGAGCTGTAACGTGATGTATTGCGAAACTCTCCTAAGACACTTTGAGTGTAGTCGGGAGAATGACAGTAGCAGTTGGAGATGGTGGCCATAAACGACTGCGCCACAATGTAGTAACGAAAAATCTAGCAAGAAAGAACGTAAACTACCTTGGAATTTTGGATGAAGTTCACTTAGACAAGTGTCCTAATTGTATGGCGGGAAAGCTAAACAGAGTAGCTTTCAAGATTACCCCTCCTTCTAAAATGAAGAATGCATTAATTCTGATTCGTTCAGATTTGTGTGGACCATTGACAATGTCATATGGTGGAAATCAATATTTTGTGATATCTATCGATGACCATTCTAGGAAGACCTGGATATACACGTTGAAGTCTTCTAAACCTGGTTGAGAGACAGACAGGCAAGAAGCTGAAGTGTATCAGGATAGATAATGGTGGAGAATACACTGGGCCATTTACACTGGGCCATTTGATGCTTTGTGAAAGAGCATGAATGGCCGTTCGAACATCCGACGAACATCGCCAGACGCCGGCAAGCTGAAAGACACATCCCAAGACGCCGCAACTGAACAGTTTGGCTGAGAGGATGAATAGAAAATTGATGGAGAGAGTCAGATGTTTACTCTCACATGCAAAGTTGTCTAAAAGATTTGGGGTGAAGCGTTACTCACAACAGTTCGCTGTTCACTCTATTTCCCTCTACAGTATGATACTCCAGAGAGAGTATGGTTAGGAAATGATGTTCCTATGATCATTTGCGAGTGTTTGGTTGCAAAGCCTTCGTGCATATCCTGAAGGATGAACGGTCTAAGCTAGATGTCAAGACTAGATGATGTGTATTCACTAGCTATGGTCAAGACCAATGTGGCTATAGGTTTTATGACCCAATCGAGAAGACGATTATAAGAAATCGTGATGCTATATTTGTTGAAGATCAGACTATTGAAGAATATCGAAGCAAAGTGCCAATAGATCTGATGAAAACTTAATAGACATACAGAGAGTCCCTCCAATAGAACGCAGAAAAATTGGAGATGAAGAAAATGTTCCATAAGAACAAGTGCCAGAATTAAAAAATCCAGAAGTTCCTAATCAGACTAAACCAGATGAAGATTATGGTGTTAATGTTTAACCACCAACACCGGAAGGTTCTCAAACATTAAGAAGATCTAGTAGAGTCTGACAACCATCTACTAGATATCCAGTCAATGAGTATATGTACTAATGACAGACGGGGGAGAACCTGAAAGCTTTGAAGAAGCTAGGAAAATGAACACAAGAGGAACCGGATTGAAGCCATGCAATACGAAATGAAGTCCTTACATGAGGATGAAACATTTGAGTTGGTGAAGTTGCCTAAAGGCAAGAAAGCTTTGAAGAACAAATGGGTGTTCAGGATCAAACAGGAAGAACACAGCTCCCAATCACGATTCAAAGCTAGACTGATTATGAAAGGATTCAATCAAAGAAAGGGTATTGATTTTGATCTTTTCACCAGTTGTGAAAATGACATTCATTCAAATGACTTCATTCGAACACTGCTTTTCGGAATGGCCGCACAGTTTCTGAGCTGGAAATTGAGGCAATGGATGGATAAGACTACCCTTCATAACATGGAGATTTTGGAAGAAGAAAATATACATGGATCAACAGAGGTTTCGTAGAAAAACAGGATTGTGTTTTGGCAAATTGAGGAAGAGGATTTATACTTGAAGCAAGGTACTGGAGACAGTGATACAGAAGTTTGAGTCTGTTAATGGGGGAGGCAAAGGCTTTCAGAAAGACTAACTTTAAGATCACTATTGTTTCCTATGAAGATTTCTCTGATGATGATACATTGTTTTTTGCTTTATGTTGGTTGAATATGGTGGACTTGTTGGTCCAAAAAATTAATAGCCTGAAGAAACAGTTAAGTAAGATCTTGTTGCTATAAAAGAAAGATTTGGGACCAGCAAAGCAGATTCTTGGCATGAAGATTACAAGGAATCAAAGAGCCAAGAAATTATGGTTGTCACAGGAGAAGTACATTGAGAAAATACTTCAAAGTTTTAGAATGGAAAACGCTAAAGCAGTTAGTTGTCCTCTTACTAATCACTTTAAATTGAGTTCTAAACAATGCCCTTCTACGGATGGAGAGAAAGAACAAATGGAAAAGATTCCATATG